TTTCCACACCTGTGGAAGAGGTCCATGCAGGTCCTGGAAGTGAGTTTGGAGACTTTTTCTCAGGGAATTCCGGTTTCCGGGTGCTGGGTGCACAGTGTATAAAGGAGGGATGTCACAGACTCTGTGTGGCCATGTTCCCTTGGCTCAAAGGACTCCTTGACCCATAGAGAAGGGTGTATCCAGCAGAGGGTCCGAGTACCCACTAGAAGCATGGGGCCCAGAAAGGAGACCCTCTTGCCTGGGTCTAAGGCCAATACTTCTTTTCTCCCAAGAGGTTTTTAGCAGCTTTTGAAAATAAACCTGTCCTCAAAGCTCAGTGATTTACTACCACTGAAATGATTCAAAAGAATGTACCCTAAGTTCTGACTGTCCCGTTGTGGGCGGCCATTTAAGGGTCAAACCTGCTAGGCAATCTCTTCGGTGCCAAGGCAAAGGGTGTGCAATCCTCTTCCAAATCTGTGTTATAGATCAAAAGGCAGATGTCAGAAGTCCCTGGGGCGTCTTCCTGAAGGAAGGGCTGCCCTGAGAGGCGTGTCCACTTGACCATGTGGGCTCATCGCCTAGAAGGGGCTACTGAAGATTGAAAAAGGATCGTAAGTCACAAGGAGGAGCTGCACTCAGGGTAGGCCTGAGGAGCTCTAACAAGCTGATCCTCCTGTAGACCGCGGCTACTAACCTCTGCTCTGTGCAACCCCCCCCCCCCCCCCATTTACCTGAAGTCCTGGAGAATAAACAAAAGAAGGCAGATCCAGGAAAGAAATTAACACTTGGAAGAAAAGAATGGCACCGGATTACCTTCTAATTATTTTATGGCTTTCAGTATACTGCTGTCAGCAGGCTTCAAGGATGCCTAACACCCCAGTAGAAAATCCACAGTGTTTCTGGCCTGAAAACCCAGAGGACAGAATTGAGGGCATCCACAACCACTGGAAAGTGGCTCAGGCACCTGGGTGGCTCAGTCGACTGAGCATCTGACTTCATTCAGCTCAGGTCATGATCTCATGGTTCATGGATTTGAGCCCCACATCGGGCTCTGTGCTGACAGCTCAGAGCCTGGAGCCTGCTTAGGATTCGGTGTCTCCTTCTCTTTCTGCCCCTCTCTTGCTCACACTCTGTCTTTCTCCCTCAAACATAAATAAGCATGAAAAAATCCCACAAAAACCCAGCTACTGTCTCTTTGGATAGCCATCTGTGAAATGGCATTTCCCATGTGGGCAGGCTCTATGTCTGGTTTCTTCATCACTGTGTTGCCAGCATCTAGCATATTGCCTGCAGTGAAATAGCTATTCAATAAAAATACATATTGGCTAATCAACTACTAACCTGTGCCCCTGAGGGAAAGGCCCAGGGTATCATCACTGTTTCCTGGCTTGCATTCTTGGCACATAGCTAGTCTGTTTTTGATCCAATAATTTATTCTCTTTGACCAAGCAATTCCTCTTCTAGAATCCATCTTAACATTTTTAGAGATGTAGGCAAAGATGTATATATAAAGATGTCCATCCAAATTTTATTTATAATAGGAAAAATTGGAAACGATTTTATAGAAATGTTTCCATCTTATGGAAATGATACATAATTACATGATAGGCAAATACAAATGTGGGGTTTCAGAATGCTTTTTGATAATGTGAAAAACTTCTTATGATGTAATGGCCCAGGATGAAAAGCCCAGGATGTAAAAATCATAAGATTTCCCAAGTCTGTTAAGACTAGCAGGAAATATACCACAAAATATTAACAAGCGGTATTTGAATTGAAAAGGCTGTCAGCTCTAAGGAACTGAAATCCTAACTTATGGTGCCTTAAGCACAGAGGGATTTATTTGTCTTTCATAAGGAGTCTAGAGGGTTGAGGGAATGGCACCCACAGTGTGGTGATGTTAGGTTTGACATCCTGTGATTTTTTTTTTCTTTATGGTCACAAGATGGCTGCCCCTGCTCCAGACATCACGTCCACATTTGCAGCAGGAGGGAAGAAGGGGAGTAGCGTGGTGTCTGCTGGGTCTGTCCCTTCTATCAGGTACATCTAGAGTCCACTGAGGTGCCCCTGCAGATTTTTGCTTAGGTCTCTTTGACCAGAATTGGGTCCTGCGGCTGACCCCATCTACAAGGGAGCCCGGGAAAGTGAATATGTAGCTTCCCAGTTTCCAGAGTGGAGGCTGCAATGGGGAAGGAGTAGGAATATCTGTTATATCAGTTAATAAACAGTGTCTTCTACGCTGCTCATTTCTGGTTGGTGGGCTTGTGGCCATTTTTACTTTTCTTCGTGGTTCTTTTCTGTCCTGCCCAACTTTCCTACAACCAGCTTTTATAATTTCTATCATTGACACAAACTATAACAGACGCTACTTTAGAAGTCCCTGGTGAGTACAGAAAGCACCCGTACTGCCATCAGTCACAGATGTGCAGAAGCGACTATTGGATCCTGTGGGAGCTGGACTGACCCGCCTACTGTCCCCCCGCAGACTGCGAACCGCCTCCCCTTTCCCCTCCTCCAGTTAGACGCTGTGCTAGCTACTCGGCAAGCATCCCTTCACCTGACTCTCACAGCGGCCGCCTTTTCCAGAAGAGATGCAGGAAGGTTAAAGAATTAAGTCACACACAGAATAAAGCAAAGCTGGGTCACAGATATGGAACCAAGCTTTAATTTTGTATGTTCCTGCCACGCCCAAGCTCAGGAAAGATTGTGTTGAATGAATGCAGAGTAGATGAATCATTTGGATGTGCAATTAAAATGTTTTTTAACGTTTATTTTTGAGAGAGAGAGAGCGAGCACGAGCAGGGGAGGGGCAGAGAGGGAGACACAGAATCCAAAGCAGGCTCCAAGCTCTAGCCGTCAGCACAGATTCCGATGCGGGGCTGGAACCCACAGACTGTGAGATCATGACCTGAGATGAAGCCGGAGGCTTAGCCGACTGAGCCCCCCAGGTGCCCCTGGATGTGCAATTTCTTTAAACTACAGCTGTTACCTGATAATTACTTCTTGTAGTGCATCTATGTTATCACTGGTTTTAATTAGCGTAATTGAAAAATAACCGGCTGTTATAAACTGCCCACAAGAGCAGAAGTCTGCTCTTCTGTCGTTGCCAAAATAGCTGGATAAATAACTTGATGTGACTCCAGAGGAACAGTCAGCTGAAGATTTGTTTCTCATGGAGTCTTTAAAAAAATTTTTTTTTATCATGGGGCGCCTGGGTGGCTCAGTCGGTTAAGCATCCGACTTCGGCTCAGGTCACGATCTCATGGTTCGTGGGTTCCAGCCCTGTGTCGGGCTCTGTGCTGACAGCCAGCTCAGAGCCTGGACTGCTTCCAATTCTGTGTTTCCGTCTCTCTCTGCCCCTCCCTTGCTCACACCCTGTTTCCCTCTCTGTCAAAAATAAATTAAAAACAAAAAACATTAAAATTTTTTCTCATGAAACATTTCAAACACGTGCAACAGGAGAGAATGGTAATAGAACTTCATGTGCTCACCACCCAGCTTCAAGAATCATCAATATTTTACTAAGTTTTTCATTTATCTTCCTCCTTCTTTTAAAAAAAAAAAAAAACACAACTGGAGTATTTTAAAGCAAACCCAAAGGCTCATTTCCTCATGAACATGTCTATAATTGGAATAAAAAGGCTTTTGAGCGGCCTCGTATTTCTCTTTCTTTATATCCACTCACACAGGAAGCAGGGACACGGACCTCAGGCAGCCCAGTGACACGGAAGGGACCCAGGAGGGACATGTTCCTTCCAGGCAGTGCCATTTGTTTGCCTCCAACCCAAGGCGCTCCTGTGCTGAAATTCCTCTGGCCTCAAGATTTCTACTTTTCTCAAATGCTGAAAATCTCTGGCTTCCTCTAGCTACAGACATCTGGGGAGTGTGGCTTCTGAAAGTATTTTTGGCATGGAAATGTCACCCAAGTTGCTGGAACTGATTTGGAAATGTTAAGATATTGAAAGTATCTGACCAGTGCGGTGCCTGGGGCTGGGCGGGGAGAGGTTAATGGTTACACTGGCCAGTCGTTTCCCATTAGGGTTCTTGCTCCCTATGCTCTCCCAGTTTAGAGCTCTTTAAAAAGTTTTTTTATTTTTTTTATTTTTTAAAAATACTTACTTTTGAAAGAGAGAACAAGCAGGGGTAGGGGGGCGGGTAGGGGAGGAGGAGAGAGACACACACACAGAATCCAAGCCAGGATCCAAATCCAAGCTGTCAGCAGCGAGCCCAATGTGGGGCTTGAACTCATGAACCACAAGATCATGACCTGAGCCAAAGTCGGACACTCAACCGACTGAGCCACCCAGGCGCCCCTAAAGTGTTGTGTGCATGTGAGCATCATGATCTTCCTGTGTTGGGATGGTCCTGTGAAGAAGTGCTTTGTGTTGACTCAGTATGTACATAAGCAAAGGTGAAGCCGTTACCACTCTAAGCAGAAAGTGCTTGGATACTGTGCTTTCTGATTTCTTTGAAGCGTGTGACACACGAAAGAAGCCAAGTCCCCTCTCCAAGTACAAGAGTGGGGCAGGGGCTAGCATAGAGCCTTCTTTTCCACCAGTCACGGGAAAAGCAAAGCCAAAGGGAGTTAAGTTCTGGGAGGAAATACAACTCTTAGTGTCAGCTGGGAGGCCCTCAAAAGTGGTCCTTCAGCTTCCTTCTGTTACAGATGGGACACAGAGCGAGGCCCAGAGAAAGGAAAAGAATCGCCCAAGGGCACACAGCGAGCCTGTGGCTTCAAGCCTGGGTGTGTTTGCCTCCAAAATCTGCACAATTCCCGTATGCGTTCCCAATCAGGGACAGTTACGTCCCCCCCACACCCCGTGCCCCCGCCCCCTTGCCAGACGCCTGGTCAGACCGCACCACGGAGCTTAGAACACGAGCCTCTGGGGGGTAGAAGTTAAGCCACGGCACCTGCATGCACAAGTAGGCGGTGGATGGAGGAGTGATTCATTTCACCCTGAACTTCAGAAGCCATTTCAGAAATCAGATGCGGGAGTTATCTCCTGGTGTTGGGAGTATCGATGATTTTTATTTTCTCCTCTATCATTTTCAGGGTGTTCCAAAATAGTGCAACCAGCATCTACCATTTTATAAACCCCACTCCCTCCAAATCTTATTTTACAAACAAGGGACACTGGAGCGCGGCGACACGATCGGCTTCGTATTGAGGTCCATCAGACAGGGCCAACCAGTTCAGGCCGTGCCAGGCAGAGGCCCCGAGCTAGAGGGGGCCCCCAGGTTCTCCACCTCTCCAGCCTGGAGGTCAAGGCCACCCAGGCAGCGTCACCCTGAAATGTCCTCCTCCCAAAACTGTTGCCAAACTGGACTTCTTTTCCAGGGTCCAACCCCAATCCCACTAGTTCTGTGAAGGTGTTTTAGAGCCACCTTCCCCCCTGGGACGAACATCTCCCTCCTCTGACCGCTAGTGGCACTTTCTTTGCATCTGTTTTGTCATCCTTACCCTTCTTTTTTCCTGGAGTCTTTTCTGTCCAGGTCTCTGTGTCTCCTGCTGGGCTGGAGCCTCGAGGGTGGGGCCTGCGTATCGATTATCTCTGCTTCCAGGGACAGTCTCAGCCTGGCACATGTGGGCCTCAGATGAAATGTTTGTTGAACTTCAGCGAATTGAAAATATAGACCCCTAGAGCGGGGAACGTGGTGACCTATCAGTTTCTGGCAGGACTCATCAACCTCGGCACCACTAGCCTTTGGGGTCTGATAATTCTACGTGGGGGCGCACTGTGGTTTAGTAGCGTCCTTGACCTCTATCTACTAGATGCCAGCAGACACCCAAAAGTTTGGACATTGACAATGCCCCCTGTGGGGGAGGGGGGCAAAGTGCCTTCTGGTGAGAACCCCTGGAATATGGTTTCTAAAGGTTTTTTCATAAACAATCCCTCGGAGTAGGAAATCCTATTTAGCAGATGAGAAAGGCAAGGCCCCGGAGAGTTTGGACTTGGAGTGGAGTCTTGCACGTAATTCTCCACGCCAAGTCCGGTGCCGATCTCACTACCCCGAGACCCCTCAGGACCCCAGCAAGGTGTTTGCTTCTGCGCTTTAGTGTAGCCACTCTACTCTCACCCCCCTTCCTGGGTTCCACCCTGTGCCCTTCCCCCCTGCCCGGCCGGGTGGCCCCATGCCAGGCTGTGACCCACTGGTTGACCCTACAGGGCCACGCAGACTAGGCCTCAGGCTGTGCCTGAATGTTCTCTCTCGTTTTCTCCAGCACCTTGGCCTCCTCCCCGTGCTTAAACACGCTGATGGTGACCTGGCCCGTCTCAGAGCCATACTTGTTCTTGACGAAGACGCCGTAGCGCCCACTGTCCTCACTGTTGACCCTTTCAATGGTGATGGTGACCTCTGCCCCCTTCACCTCCATGTGGTAGCGGTCAAGGAAGGTGACAGGCTGGTCATTCTTCAGCCAAGAGATTTCAGGGGTGGGATCTCCAGAGATGACACAGGTCAGGCACAGGGTCTGTTGGAAAGGACAGGAAGGAACACTCAGTTTCACCTCCTTATAATAACACTTGGCATTCACCTTCGTTCCCACCCCCTCCAAGAGCTCCCAGTACCAGCTGCTCCTTGTGATAAATTTATTACACGTGTTCTCTTGTAACCCATAAAAGGATAACATTGAAGGGAGAGACGTTGTATTTTAATTCCACATCCTCCACTCCTCAAGTTTTCTACAGGAATATTCACTTGTTAGAATTTCAGACCGTTATTACCCTCGCAAATATCTGCCCCAGATTGGCCTGAATTGTTTTATTGGTTTTTGTTGCATATATGCCGTTAGGATTTTACCATGCAAATAAGACCATATTGCTTTCATACAAAGATTTATGAATTGGGTTTAAAAATTCTTTTTGTTTTTAAATATGTATTTATTTTGAGAGAAAGAGAATCAACGTGGGGCTCAATCTCTCAACTTCGAGACCATGACCTCAGCCAAAATCAAGACTTGGACACTCAACCAGATGCCCCTGAAAATCCTTGAAGAATCTCTGACACAGAGCGCTACAGCGTAACAGTCGGGGGCTGGGTACATGGATACTCTGAATCTCAGCTCTGCCCCCTCAAGCTGTGTAACCTTAGGAAAGTCCCTCAACCTCTCTGGGCTTGGTTTCCTCAGCTACCAGGAGTGATTAGTAATAAGCCCCTGTTGCATGTGGTGGCCTTGATGGTGAAGCAGACTCCAGTATGTGCACATATGCAATAGTGTCTGGCACACAGTAAGCACCTTGCATACATTAACAATCATTTTCTAGAACACCAGACTTGGGTAATTTCAGTTCTAGAGAGGTTTTTTGGGATCCTGTAGTCGGATTCCTATGGAAATGAGAGTTCACTGGCAGAAGGCTGTGACGCCCAGGGCCAGTAGAGAGGGGCAGCGAGCACCCCCATGGGCCTGACACTAGGCTCAGTGTCTCTCCCTTATACTATGCATGCCAAGGGACTGTGGTCACTGCAGACTCGGATGGATCTGGCTCCTTCGGCTCTTGAATCCATGGTGCTACCTTGTGTCATGATCTTTAACGGGTGTGAGAGGGAGCACCGCGTGGGACTGCTGGCCATGGGCGGGGGTTGGTCGGTACCTTATCTTCCATGATGGTGGCTACGTCTGGCAGGCCCCTCACCACTTTGGCACGATCTGGAAGGGAAAAGAGCGATGAATGTTTTCCTGCCAGCTGCTTCCCAGAATCAGGCTCCACAGAGTGGGGGGTTTTATTTTTAAGCAATGTTTCATTTTTCTATTTTCATCCTTTTGGCTAGAAATCTTGAAGTTTGTATTACATGTTTCTTTGCTTTCGCAAACAGAACACAAGGGACACTGTGCTTCTGTGATTGACTCGAAGTCATCCTTATGATCGGTGGTGCCTGGAGGGGACAGCGAGGTGCCCCTCCCCTCAAGAACTGGGAAGGAGGAACGGGCTGGGGTCACCTGGTGAAGGTAACACATGTGGACTGCTGGCGGCATCCCTGCGGCCAAAGGCCAGTTCACGTCCCTCTGGGGTCGGGGCTGTGTCCTGGACCCGAGGAGGCCCCAGTACCCCAACAGCCAGAGCCAGCTTCAGCTTCAAGGCCGCCCTCTCCCCAACCCTCCCCTGAAAGCCTGCCCAGCCTCCTTCCTTCCCTCCCGTCTATCCCCAGCCGCTGCACCTGCCCCGTCCACACCCACATCTCAGGCATCCCTGGACCCCTTATCCATCCGTTGGTCATTGTGTCGCCACCGCCCACAGCCACACAGACCCCGCGTGGAGCTGAGACTTCAGCCAGGGGGCACGGACTCATGGAACAATGCCCCAGACCCAGACAAAAAAGTAACAGAAATACGAGTGGACTTACTCTTCTCAATGATGGCCAAGGCTCTGAAAAACAGAAATGGGCAAAAGGCTTCAGTCCCATTTGTTAAAGGACAGGGCTGCCCGGGGAAGGGGTGAGGGGGTGATGAGGGGCTGAGGCTCCCAGGAAGGGGTCCTGTACCCAGCTCGTGCCACACCCCAAGGGGCCGATGATTCACCCAAGAAATGCAGAGGGCACTCACTTCAGTCTCTGGTGCTCAGCAAAGGCTTCGTCAAAAGCTGCCAGAAGGAAAAAGGTTGGGGGGGGGGAGCGTCAGAGCCTCTGCCCCTGTGACCTACAGGTTACCGGGCTTAGGACTGGCTGTTCCTCCACTGTATTCCCATCCCTGTGTTCTCTCGGGCAGAGCCAGGGTTGGGTGGGGAGACAGGAGTGCCCTGTCCCCAAAAGACCACGGGATTTTCTAAGCAGGTTTCTTGGCAGACAGACAGGTGGACAGCTTACCTTGTCCCGAGAGGTCAGCTGAGAGTGTCCGGGTCTCCTTCCCAGCGGCTATCTCCAGGGTGTATTTGCCCTTGTCTGAATCTTTGGGGTCCAGGATGTGGAGCCAAATCTCATCCAGGGTGGTGCCAGCCCTCACCCGATCACCACTCTCCAGGCGTTTTTCTCTGGATACGAGGGCAAGGGAATGTTGGAACACGGCTCAGCCCGTCAGTGCCTCCCTGCTCACCAGTGCTGGCTGCCTGTGGGTCTACAGGGACCTCTGCCCCAAACTCCTCTCCTGGGGTTTTGTTTCCAGGTCTGTGGGCTGACCACCCATCCAGCATTCATTCATTCATTCATTCATTCATTCATTCCTCCAGCAAATCCGTGGCACGTCAACTGTGTTTCAGAGCTGAGTATATTTGTGATGTGTCCTTCAGGCTGGGACCTTAAGGAAACAGCGCTCTGAGGTCAGTGGTCCCTACATCCTCCACCTCCGGGGATGACTCCCTCAGTTCTTCATTTTCTTCAGCTTAAACCCTCCCAGCATTTCTTCCCACCATTACGCTTCTCTAATCCTTAAAAACCACATCAACTCCTTCCCTTCTTTACTTAAATTTCATTCCTGGAGATGCCCAGCCCATGTCCTCAATGTTGTATTGCAGAAGTGACACCCCTAGACTTGGTCACAGGGCTCAGGAACTCTGGCTAGGAAAGGAGCCCATGACTTTGGCTCTCACTCATTCGACAAACTTGACCACGTCAGTCTAGCTTTCTCCACAGAGAAGGTGCAGTCACGTCTGCTCCACAAGGCTGAGGCATGCAAATGACAAGCAGCACCGGGAAAATAATGCTCTCAAACTGTCTGTGGTCACTTAGGTCCTGGCTGGGTCTCTGTGGATAACTTATCCATCCTGCCTTCCAGCCCTGGCATGCAGTCCATTGTCAGCCTCACACATCCCTCTGCCTGCACCTCTCCCCTCAGACCGTCTGCCTGAGTTTGCTAAGTGATCTACCCGACCATCTGGGTCTCCCTCATTCTGCATCCTTCCCTACCCTAGTTCCAAGCTGCTTCTCTAAGACAATGATCCTTCTGTGGCCATGGATGTTCTAGAAGAATGCGGTTGCCACCAGGGTTCCCACCTTCCCTAGGGAACCTCCCTTCTGTACCTTTCATTGCTCTTCCCTATCTCTGATGCCCTCTGTGGACAGCATGACTAGTGGGCGACCCTGTGTCCGCCAGCTCCTTAGGCCTGGGCTCTGGGGCAGATGCCGCTGGTCCTCTCGCACCCTTGACCTCCCCAGCTGGGCTGGGGCTCCAGGAAAAGGCCAACTTACTTGTGGAACCAGGTGGTTTTCATGTACTGGATATTGTAGTACTTGACCTTGCTGAAGATCCGGATTCCTTCCTCGGTCCCTTGGAATTTCAGCGGGGTTGCAGAGAGGGCTGGGGAGGCAAAGGAGAAGGCCAAGGACCTTTCAGGTCCTTGTACATTCAGGTGCTAGCCAGCTCCCCCCTGCACTAGGGGTGCGGTGGGGGGAAATGCAGCTTTGTGAGGAAGTAGGAACTTCTCCCTCAATCTTTGAGGTTGAAAACTAAACCCATGACTGGTAGCCAAGGCTGGTGGGAGGGGCCCTGGAGGCTATTTGGCATCAGGACAGGACTGAAAACAGGGTGGGGGGGCTTGCTTACCACCAATCCTTCCCAGCTCAGTGTAGATGTCATCCAGGGCTGGAGGGAGACAGAGAGAATGGTCAGCTGACATAGGGCCCTTCTAGGGACAGGCCAGGGGTAGGCATGTCCCTGGAAAAGCCTGGTGGAATTGGGAGCTCACAGGATGTCCCCTTACTGACTTGGGCCTGGGGCACTCACTGATGGATGGGACAGGGGGGCACCATGGATGGAGGACAAAATGGGGCAGCCTGACAATTTTCTTGGTGGCTGATCAACCAGCCTGATGGTTGACTGAGCCTGGGGCTCAGTGTGGGTGGAGGAGTGAACTCTGGCTTCGAGTCCTGAAGCCTGGGCTTCCTGCAGTATAGAGAACATGGACTTGGGTATTACAGACTGGGCCTCCAGCACCGACCTGCTGTGCTGCCTTGGGCAGGTCACTTAGCCTCTCTGTTGCCCCAAGTGATATGGAGATCCCATAAATTTTACCCCCAGCTCATATCACACCTTGTGATTCTGTGTGACCCCTGGGTCCCCCTGACCCGTCTCTCGCATTGCCAGCTCCTACCTTCACCTGTGAGGTCTAGGAGGGTGTCATCCTCCCCTCGGCTGTCAGAAACCGTTGCTCTATAAATTCCCTTGTCCTCTTTGGACAGCTGGAAAGAGGAGTGAGAATGAGGGGTACGGGGATAGGTTCTGGAAGGAGTGCCAATCAGCCTGGGCTCCCGTCCCGTCCCTAACACTCTGTGTGATCTCACGCAAAAAAACCCCCAAAAAACAAAAAACACAAAACACCTCTTCTCCTCTCTGGGCCTCAGCTTACCCATCTGGAATGGGTGATCTCTAAGGCTCCTTCTACCTCTGGAGCTCTTTGATTCCAAGTTCAGGGCTTGTCTGAGCCTGGGAGTAGGTAGGGGAAGTGAGGGGAGCTGAGGGTAGAAGCAGACACCCCACTTTTGGATTCACAGGCAGCTGGGCCGAGGGCACGGTGGCCTCTCTTTGCAGGGGTGCCTGAGCTGCCCTGCTCCCTGAGGGCCCGGCTGGAGCGACCCCTCTGCACTGCTCTGGAAGGAAGGGACAAGGGGCTCCTTTCTGGCACGTGCTCGTCAACCCCGCATGAAGTCTGAACTAACACCCAGCAAAGCAAGAACCTGGGTTGTGTTTCTGAAGTGGTCGGAAGTGACCTCTCATTGCACAATGACCCCGACGTCATTATTTCCTTCCTAGGCAGCAAACTCACATTTGCCCCAGCCCTCTGTGGCACCCAGTGAGGCCACAGAAACCAGCTGCAGGGCAGAAAGGCACTGAACAGGGCCTGTGTTTCTATCATAACCAGGATGTCCCCCACCCCCCTTCCCAAAAGGCCACCGGGGCTGGAGAACTGAGCTTCAGCCCTGCTCTGCTCTGCTCAGACCCGCCTCACACCGCGGTCGCCTTCTGGTCCTGACTCTTACACTCTTGGTTGGGGCAGGAACACATCGTTGGGAGAGCATTCCTTCTGCCCTATTCATGTTTCAGATGGAAACTGAGCTCAGAGGACAACAACTAGCCCAAGGTCACACAGTTCCTGGCGGGGCCAGAAATGGAATCCAAACAAAAGGAAATGCCAATTTTACTGTTCCTGCCTTTATTTAAAATGTTTCTATTTTCCCCTCCATGGCCTTTTTTTCTTGCATTAACTTTGATTTAAAAAATACTGCACAAAATGTTATTTATCTTGATTACTGAGTTTTTAGCGCCCCCTTAAATTCTGTGCTCGAAGTGAGTGTCTCACTGGCCTCATCCTGGTGCCAGCCCTGCTCCCGACTCCCCGCTCAGTGCTCCGACTCCGCACCCAGTGCTCCGACTCTGCACCCAGTGCTCTGACTCCGTGCCCAGTGCTCTGACTCTGCACCCAGTACTCCGGACTCTGCGCCCACTGCTCCTGACTCTGCGCCCAGTGCTCCGACTCTGTGGTCAATGCTCCTGACTCCGCAGTCAATGCTCCCGACTCTGCGCATACTGCTCCCAACTCCGTGTCAAGTGCTCTTGACTCTGCGCTCAGTGCTCGCGACTCCCCGTCCACTGCTCCTGCCTCCTTGCTTAGGGCCCCCAACTCTGTGCCCACTGCTCCCAACTCCTCACCCAGGGCTCCCAACTCTGCGCCCAGTGCTCCTGACTCCATGCCCAGTGCTCCTGACCATGTGCTTAATGCTCCTAGAGGGTGTGAGACCTGGAGCTGCACTTACCTCTTCGATGCACAGGATTCCCACTCCCGTCTGTGGGTCTTACTGACCGGCCGGTGTCTCTTTCTTCTGGAAGAACCACTGGAAGCAGGTTTCCGTCTTGGTGTTTGTTGCCTGAGGGAATGAAGAGACTCTCTCAGGCTTCCTCTTTTGAAGTAAAAACTCACCTCATCAGCTCTCTCTCTCTTTACAAACTTGCCTCTCCCTCATGCCCCTACTTACTCTTAGCTAATTCCCTCCTCGATCTCAACTACTCCTCCCTCACACTGCCTCTCCTCTGCTGGTTCCGCGTTCTGGATTCTCACTAAGTGCCCTCTGCCTCTTGATCTCTTCTCTACTCTTTTTCCTTGTAAGCACACCAGGTGGATGTCCCCTCCTCCAGGAAGCCTCCCTTGAAGCTCCCCAGAGTGTCCCCATCGCAATTAACCGTGTCTTGCACATGCCTGGGTCACAGCTGGAGGCGGGCTGTGTAACAAGGATCCTGTCTCAGACCCATGGGCCCCGGAGGAGACTTTCTCACCTCAGTATACCCAGTGCCATGCAGAGTGTCTGGTGCGTAGTAGGTGCTTTGAATTTGCTGAATGGATATGCTTCTGGGCCAACACTCTCCCTTCCCCTTCCTACCCTTCCCCAGTCATCTAAAGAGGCTGCAGGGTGCTGAGAAGGAGCATCAGCTTTGGAGTCAGACTGGGTTAAAACCACTCTAGACTTTACCTCCTACCCCGAGGTCTTGAGCTATTTCTCTACTTGTTCTCGGATCCGTGCCCATCTCGCAGGTGCCTGTGAGGCGGATGGGCGCAGAGCACAGTGTCTGCCAAGCCTACTAACAAACTTTAGAGAACCCTCTCAATATAGAGAACCCTCGCCCGCTCACAGACCCCTGTCCCCCTGAACCCCTTCCTGAACGGCTTGATCTAGCTGAAGGCTATTTTGGCTTCCTAGGCTCTTCCTGGGGGTAGTTTTGTTTTCCAGTTTAACGTGGTCTCCCTGGAGCAGTTAATCTCCCGGTTTAACAGAGAGGGCTGCCTTCTCCTTGGGATCAGCCAAGCACAGGAATTTGGGAAAGTGGGCAAGGACAGCCACCCGGCCGGGGACAAGTCACATGCTGCCCGCACTGGGGAGGGGGGCAGGGCTGGAGGCAGGGGCGGGGACTTGCCTTGCATGTCAGCAGCACTTGGCAGTCCTCCGTGACCTTCCACTGCAAGGGCTCCTCGAAATAGGGACCTGTGAGCGCAAAGCAAACACGCCCACCGTCAGAGCTCCGGGCTCCGCCAGGGCGCCACCTGCTGGTGAGATGGGGGCAGCCCGCGGGGGGAGGGACAGCGAGAGACCCCAGGTCCCTCAGATTCTGCCGCCACCAAGGCAAGGACGGAGGCGAGGCAGGGGGGTGCCTGGGGCGCCAAATTTAAGGAGGGGTCACTCTCAGGGGTGGGCTTGACGCTCGGGGGTGTCGCTCTGTGTCTTGTTCTTGCAGCGGGACAGAACTGGATTGAACTGCAGTGGCCTGGGGGCCACGGCCTCTGAGCTTCACTCCAGCAATTCTTACCCTGCTTTCTCTTCCAGTCTCTTCTCTTAGCGTCTGCTTTCCTCAGAAGTTTGTCGAAATCTGTGAACACATAGGGAGGAACGGGCGTGAGCCGGAAGGAGCGCAGGGCGGGAGAGGGGCCTGGGGGTGCGCAGGGGCCCCGGAGCCCAGGGCCGAGGTTGGGCGTGTGGGGCTGGCCGGGCGCGGCTGACCGTCATCCACCAGTGCCAGGGTGATCTGGTTCTTGGCTTTCCCGTCCTGGAGCTGAGCAGTATACGACCCTTTGTCATCCTCCGACAAGTTCTGGATGATCACTTCCACCAGGCCCTTCTCTCGGTCAAAGTTGATTTTGCGGCCCTGCGGAGAATAAACCCGGAGAATCTTTTTTGCCCTTGTTCTATCCCAGGGAATTTGTGCTGCGGGGCACAAATTAGGGCGTACTTGGACTTGGGGGGGGGGGATATGTGCAGAGTTAGAAGCCTTCAGAGACTGGGAAGGGGCCCCGGCTGACTCTGCTCCTCCTATAGACCCAGGCTGTGTCATCCCCCTGGCCCTGGGAACACCCTGGGGCCCAGCGGGCACCGGAAAGAGTCTTGGGTGCAATTAATAATAAGCCCAAAACCTCTACTGTGCCACGTTTTCTTCAAATCCCCATAAAAAAAATATAAAGGATAATATAAAAAATGCCTGTGTACTTGCTACCCAGAATTAATATTCATTTACATTTTGTCATGTTCTAACAGTTTTTAAAAGTTTTATTTTCGGGGCACGTGGGTGGCTCAGTCAGTCAAGCATCCGACTTCGGCTCAGGTCATGATCTCACGGTTTGTGGGTTCGAGCCCTGTGTCGGGTTCTGTGCTGACAGCTCAGAGCCTGGAGCCTGCTTCAGATTCTGTGTCTCCCTGTCTCTCTGCCCCTTCCCCACTCATGCTCTGTCTCTCTGTCTCAAAAATAAATAAAAACTATAAAAAAAATTTTTAAGTTTTATTTTCCACATTTAGGACTGTCTTCTCTCTGGATTTATTTGTATGTATGATTTGAGGGAGCCATCAAGTTTTATTTATTTTTTTGTTATTTTTAAAAATGTTTATTTATGTTTTTGAGAGAGAAAGAGACAGAGCATGAGTGGTGGAGGGCAGAGAGAGGGAGACACAGAATCCGAAGCAGGCTCCAGGCTCTGAGCTGTCAGCACAGAGCCCAATGCGGGGCTTGAATCTATGGACCGTGAAATCGTGACCTGAGCCAAAGTCGGATGCTTAACCGACAGAGCCACCCAGGCTTCCCCGGCCCCTTTTTTCTAAGTGTATTTATTTTGAGAGAGAGCAAGTGCAAGCGGAGGAGGGGTAGAGAGAAAGAGAGAGAGAGTGAATCAGAAGTAGGCTCTGCACACAGTCAGTATGGAGTCCCATGTGGGGCTCGACCTCACGAATAGTTTTATTTTTCTGTATGGACAGCCGATAGTCCAAATGTTGTGCACTGAAGAGTGCAGACTTTGTCTCACTTCCTCTACCATGTGCCAAGGTCACTGTGAATCTTTGTGCAGAACTTTCACCTCTGTTTTCTCGTTTGCTTCTTCTGATGCTGGGACAACCAGCCCCATTGTACAGATACAGAAGCGGAAGCACAGAGAGGTGCAGAGGCCTGCCCAAGGGCACACAGCCCGTAGGTGTGAGTCTTCCGACATCCAGCCCTGGGCAGATCCTCCTCTGTTGGGACCAGTGCTCTTCGCTGTAACACGTTTTGTCTGATGGCCACTTTGCCATCTGAAGATTCAATTTGCAAACAATATGACCTCATGATCGAATCTCTCATGACACTGAAATTGCCATATTTTAAAACAGTTGAATAGGGGCAGCTCATGGTTCAATCTAATACAACCTAATGACACACGTTTTTTTTTTTTTTCAGAAAAGCAATGTAATATCACAACTGTAACATGAAGAAGACATAAAAATCATATGCATTTCAATAGATGTTTAGTCATAATCTCAGCCTTGTTGCACTGATTTATAATGAACTGGTTTGAATTTAAGAGCAGTTCAGGAAAGTAAAAAGATCAAAAGCTATTTTGTACGAAAAGAACAGGAAAATGAATGAAAGAGCATAAGTACAGTGGCTAATAGGATAACTTTTTATTTGGTGTATATTAAAAGTATGCAGAAATAATTTGTATTTGTATCATAAGGTTAGGGTCTAGGTTCGGAGAATTGTAAGCATGAATGTAGATTTTTAATCTTAAGAATGTCTGGTAGGACAGTCCAAAGTTGTGTGTGTGTGGTGTGGGGGGCATGGAGAGTCTTTACCCAGGGAGTGTTTCTTGCATAGGCGGGCTCCAGCCACCAGGTGTCCCCACCCCCACCACAAGGCTGTGACAGCCAAAGCTGTGGCCATTTCTAAAATGTCCACTAGGGAGTGCTGTTGGCCTGTGGAGAACCACTGCCCCGCTAGAGGCCATGTCCAGGGCTGGGGGGGGGGGTACCTCGCCTAAGAAGCCTGAGCCCCCACTTACCGGTGAGCTGAAGATTTCCTTCTCGTTGAAGATTAGATGCAGCTCAGCGGCGGGTGATAACTTTTCTACTTCCAGCCACAGCCGCACCTCTCCTTGCTCAAGGATGTCGACGTTCCAGCCAGAGATCAGCTTGATCACTGGGAGGTGAGGACAGGAGGGGGTGGTGGGGCAGCCTTCTCCCCTCCCCACCCCTGACCTGCCCTGCTGTGAGCACACCCTGGGCATTTAACTGGCAAAGTGCTTCAACAGTCTGAGGGCCACACCCCTGGGATGGGGTCTGGGGAGGATTTCCACATTCGGCCCCTCTAGATGCGATTCATCTCAGAGAAGCTCCCATCTCCCCAAGGCTTTGAGGCTGGTTTCTCACCCTGACTGCGCTCTGGATCCCTGAAGATTTTTAAAAACATGAATGTCTGGGCTCCAGCCCCAGGGGCGCTGATTTGTCTAGGTCATGGCCTGGACACTGGGGTTTTAAAAGTTATCAGAGCCTGGGTGGCTCAGTTGGTTAAGGGTCCAACTTCGGCTCAGGTCACCATCTCACCAGTTCGTGGGTTCGAGCCCCCACATCGGGCTCTGTGCTGACAGCTCAGAGCCTGGAGCCTGCTTCAGATTCTGTGTCTCCCTCTCTCTCTGACCCTCCCCCAGCCACGCTCTGTCTCTCTCTGCCTCAAAAATAAATAAACTATAAAAAAATAAATAAAAGTTATCAGAGTGACTCCCAGGTGCACCTACGTGTGTGACCCCAGCTCTGGGGACCCGACGCTACTCCTAACCAGCCGAAGGAGGCGGAGGTTTAGATGGTCAAAGTCCAAAGGACTGAAAAGCCAATTATAACAATTATAAGAGGACGAAACCGTCTACCCTGCCCTCCTTTGTACCCCCTCCCCGCCCTGCTGGCCGCCCTTTCCTCTTCCACGGGCTGCTGACTCCCTGGGCCTCTCACCCTGCCGCCCCATGAGGCCCGCATCCTCTGCCCCTCGGCTGGGCCCCATTCAGCTCTGCTCCTGACACCCCGAGGGCCCAGCTTACCTGGGTTTCTGATCTCATGGCTCAACTTCTTCAGCTTGTTCAACTCTGGGACAGGGAAGAGCAAGGAAGAGAACAGCAATGGGAAAGTGAAAGGCCTGGGGCCCCTGGGGTCCATGCGAGCTGCCCGAGCGTCCGTGCTGGGCGGAAGTCCCGAGGGAGTCCCCTCCCCCACCTGGAGTCACTAGCTACACAGGAGGTGAGGAGGAGGGACACTGCTGTTGGCCACCCTGAGGCCAACCACCTCCTCAGAGTTTTTCCACGTGTCAGGCCCTGCGTCACCTCGCTGGTCCTCACACGATGCCGTGGGGTGAGCACCGCGGTCACCTCTGACCACTGCAGGCTCACCGGGGCCGGGGTAGAGCCCGCACTTCATCTTCCCTGTAAACCCCGGAGTCCTCTGGATGATGAGTCTTCACTCACGGCAAGTGAAAATAAAATAAAACGAAGACCAAAAACGTGGCTTTAGTTGGCCGAGAATCACGTGATTGGATCCGCGTAAAACCGTTTCTGTTGGGGCTGCCGGGGATCACGCTCTCCCTTTACAGGTGAGCAAGCCGAGGTCCAGAAAGGGGACATGACCTGCTCAGCATGAAGCAGCCGGGAGATGACGGAACTGGAATCGGAACCTGAGCCTGTCTGGCTTCTGCTTCGTGCCCGAATCACAGGGCCTCACGAGCAACCGGCGGGGAAGACAACGGGCTGTCATCCCTCGGACTCTGGAGATGGCGGAGCCCGAGTCCCTTCTGCCAAGAGCACCGGCTCTAGTTCTGTCTAAATCGTCACACGTGGGTGACCCTTGAGACACAGCCTCCTCTCTCTGGTTTGTCACGGTCCCCGCTGCTCCCTATTGTGGTCCTCACTCCTCAGACCAGCTGCCATTTGCAATTTGCCCTCCCACACGGCACCGTTGTGTTTCTGGGGCTACAGAAGAAGGTGGAATAATTCTGGTACCTTTGCTTTTATCAAAAGTAGAAAAGGGAGAGACAAGAAGAATGTGAACTCCGCCGAGCAGGGAGTTTTAACTGTCGGGTTCACGGATGTGCTCTCCAGTGCCCAGGACAGTGTCTGGTGTGTGGCAGGTGCTCAGGAGAAACCGATTAATGGACTGGCTGACTGCATGGGTGGGTGAGGGCCTTCTTCTCTGGAAATCATTGCTTTGTTGGGTTTTGTTGCTTCCTGCCAGCCTGCGGGGGCATTTGTGTTTGGGACTCTTGATCTGGGCCTGTCTCTCTGGGGAGTCAGTGGTGGGGCAGGACCATTACCTTCCTCCGTCAGCGTGTGGCTGGCCGAGATGTCTTCATCAGCATCCGTGACCACTACTGAGTAGGTGCCCAAATCCTCAAGGCCAGGATCTTTCAGGATGACCTTGGACCTGGCAGAGAGAGGAGAGCAGAGACTCCGTGAGGCTCCTTGTGCGCTGCAGGCCCAGAACCCCAGTCCCACCCCTGGCCACGCCTCCTTCCACCACCATCCCTGCCCCCCGGGTGCCCTGCTCGGGGCAGCGCTGGCCTGGCACCTTCAACGGCCCTGTTAGCCAGGCTCTCTGGCACAGGGTCTGCCCACTGGCCACACCACCCTCTCTCTTGCCCCCAGGGCTCAAGTCATCATCTGGACGGGGCAGGAGCCAGAGCTGCTGGGGGTGGGCCAGTGAGACATGGGGATGCTGAGCCCAGAGAACTTTCAAGAGCAAACCCCTGGCACCCGGGCTGGAATCCGAGTGCTTAGCGTCTCCTTGGCAGCACCGACACGAAAGCACACACACTCCTTGCAGAAAAAGAACCTTTAATGAATGTGGCCATTTTTGCCCTTAAATGCCTTGTGCCCTCATTTCTCCCTAAGGTCCTTGGCCAGCGTCCTTGGTGAGAGACCAGCCAGGCCCTGCCTGGCCCACTGTCTGTGAGTCCCGCCCGGTGCTCTCACCCACGAGCTTCTCTGCCCACTCACCTGATGGCACTTAGGACCTGTGGGCTAGTGACACGGCCCTCGGCCCTCACTTACTTGTTAGCTTTCTCCTCGACCTTGACCCTCTGGGGGTCTGGCGGGCCCTTGTAGTCCTTGGACCACTGAAACTCCGATGAGTCAGGGGCCTCGGGGGCTTCGAAAGCCAAGTAGATAGAGCCCTCTTCATCCACGCCAACCTCGATCTCTCGGGCATCTGAGGGCAGGACCCAAGGGAGGGCACCAGACGTTTAGAAGTAATAAACCAAGTCATTCGCCTTCCTGCCTAACCCTTTCCATGGCCCGTTTGTGCTTGAGTAAAATAATAAACTCCAGTCTCCTTGCCGTGGCCTCCAAGACCTTGTGTGGTCAGCTCCTTCTCAGCTCAAATGTCACACCTCCTCAGAGAAGACCTCCCTGACCACCCTGGTTAAAGTAAGCCCCTTCCTCCCCCCCACCCCCCAGTTCATTTCATTTAGAGCATGTACCACCCTCCTAAATCATCACCTTCGCGTAATCATTTCCTTGTTTACAGGCCGGCGGCCCCTCCCCCATGCTAGAGCAGGGGCCTTGTGTCCCCGGTGCAATGTGGGCATCACCAAATATTCGTTGAATGAATGGAAAATTGAAAGACTGGAAAAAGAACGAGCCTTATAGTTCGCAGAGATGAGTGATACCGTCATGTCCTAGCTGTGTGATGGGATTGTTTAACTAATGACAAAACCAGTTCTGAAGTGCCGGGCAATGATCCCTCGCCCAGGGACCTGTTGGGAGGGCCGGGACGGTGTGAGGACCTAGTGCAGCACCTGGCGTGTGTGGTGGGAGGGGACCGTAGGAGTTGTGACTGCAAGACAAAGTCTCGTGTGCTCTCTGGGATGGAGGTGGGTATTATTTTATTTTTTAACATGTATTTATTTTTGATGGGGGGGAGGGGCAGAGAGAGAGAGAGATACACAGAATCTGAAGCAGCTCCAGGCTCTGAGCCATCAGCACAGAGCCCGATGTGGGCTCGAACCCACAAGCCATGAGATCATGACCTGAGCCGAAGTCAGATGCTTAACCGAGTGAGCCACCCAGGCGTCCGAGTTGGGTATTATTTTAAATACCCTTGAAGAGTTGTGGGAGTTTATGAATATGGCATGTGAAAGAATGGAAGACCCATCAAATAGGAATAAATGATATGTTCATATCCTGGGATCCCACAGAAGCAAACAGGAGTGGGGAGTGGGTGAGGGACAGGCAAAAAGGAAAGGTGGAGCTGGATGATGTGTAGGAGGGCGGCCCTTCCTGCTGCGCATCTGCATGCTTCTCACTACCCTCCTCCTTGATGGCACAGCTGGGCCTTGTGGTGCCGGCACCCCCTCCCTGCCCTGCCCCCCTGCCCTCACCTGGCTTGTCTTCCAGGAGTATGGGGTCAGTGGGCATGGATGGCTGTCCTGGACCAGCTGAATTCACGGCCTGAACCTGGAACTTGTAAGTCTTTCCCGGCTGCAGGTCAGAGATCTGCAGGAGGTGGACAGTGGGCCAGAGTGAGCACTGAGCACGGCAAAGACTTGCCCTTCCCACAGCGTCGGCCAGGGGTGCAGGGAGCCCCTCGCTGGTGGAAGTGTGTCCTGGGGTGGGGGGCAGGCCAGGAGAACCCCTCTCTCCCACATCCCAAGCTGTAGTGGGCCCCCCGCACTGGGATTACTTCCCATCACTGTGGCACGTGGAATTCTGCCCACTTAACTTGTCGCATGCCTCAACAAGAAACACCCCATCTCGTCTCCATCCTTCACCCCAGAGAGAAGCCTGGGGACCATCTTTGACATCCTTCTCTTGAGCCCTACATGTCTCATTACTGAGTTCACACTTCCTAACACTCCTGAATGTGGCTACTCTTCTCCATGTCCCAGCCATGGCCTTGACTGAGGCTTCATCTTTCCCTACCTGGATTAGTCCAACAGTTCCCCGGATGGCGTCCCTGACTCTAGACCTTTCTTCCCAGACTTTCCTTCTGCCAATTCTTCCAAAGTGCCAATCTGATTAGTGCCTAAGGTCTTTTTACTCTGGCCTAGCTTTCTGGGTCTTCTGTGCTCTTGCCGTTCTGTGTGGCTCCTTCACTCTGTGACTCCCTCCGGGTGCCCAGATTCACCTCATCGGTTTCCCGTTTCACGTCTCCATGCCTTTGTCCTTGCTGAGTCCTCCGCCTGCAATGCCCTCCCCTTGTCCTCGGTCTAGCCAACGCCAGTTTATCCTGACCCCTCAGCTCAGCCCAGGCGGATTCGAGGACTCCAGGCAGGGTTTCCTAGAACTCCCAGAATCCTTTTGGCCGCCCCCCCTCAGTTGCACAGTACACAATATGGTAACTGCTTGTTGCCCAAAGACTGTGGCTTATTTCGCTTTTTATGTCTTGGATCTGATTCCAGACCTGGCACTAAGAAGGTGTCAAGAGGTGTTTGGTAAATGACCGCGTGAATGCCGGCCAACTGTCTACAACTCAGAAATGGTGCCAAGTCACCAGGGCCCGCCCAGCCTGGCCTGGGCCAAGCTACACGGGGAAGCAGAGGGACCGTCTCTCTCGTGTGGCTCTCTGGGGCCAGCTGCCGGGCACTGGCTGGCTCTACTGCAGGGGCCTGACCCCGAGGGACCGAACCTGCAGAATCGCAGAGCATCCCACCGGCCATGGCCTGTCCTCCCCGCTTCTGCTTCTGGTGGCCTTACTGTTACTGTTTCCAAATGAAAGTTTTTAGTTTCTCTGATTCTTTTTTTGTTTGCTTGTTTAGGGCTTTATTTTTTTTTTTAATGTTTTATTTATTTCTGAGAGAGAGAGAGAGACAGTGTGAGCAGGGGAGGGTCAGAGAGAGAGGGAGACACAGAATCCGAAACAGGCTCCAGGCTCTGAGCTGTCAGCACAGAGCCCGACGTGGAGTTTGAACCCACAAACTGCAAGATCATGCCCTGAGCTGAAGTTGGACGCTTAATCAACTGAGCCATCCAGGTGCCCCTAGTTTTCCTGATTCTAAATGAAATGCACACTTCTTGGGAAAATAGTAAAGAAATAGAGAAGCATATAAAATGAAGGGCTAAACTCTCTTGGCAGCCCCACCCCCCACGGATGACCAGAAATAACAATTTTTTTTTCCAAAAACAAATTTGGCTCTACTTCCCAGTGGAAGTTGATCCTATATCTAACACTGCTCAAGATTTCTTGTACGATGAAAAGAGAAGCAGAAGTCCCTTTACACTGCCTTGCTTTGCCAGAGAACCACCGAAGCCTGCCAGCAAAATCTGCAAAAACACGGAAGACTTCACGAATCTGCGTGTTATCCTTGTGCTGGGACCATGCTAGTCTTATCTGATGACTCCAATTTTAGTATAGCTGCTGCCTGAGCAAGCACCAGGAATCACAATTCTGTAAACATCCGTTTAAACTTTGAAATGCACATAAGCCATGTAGAAACACGACACGTGTCACGTTTGTTAGTACCGTATTCTTTGCACATTGTTTGGACGTCTTGAACTTGCCTTCTTGTTTCTTGGTGCTAACTGATGGAATGCTAATGTGTGGTCTTGAAAACTGCACACTCTGCTGCCTGCTGGTGGAAGGCACCTCAGGAAAGTGAGTTGGAGAAGACATTCCTCTTTTCCCTAGAGCTCCAGAAACTAAAATCTAGTCCACGTCACAGAACTGTCCTCCTCACAAACAGCCCTCAAATACAGGTGGCCAGTGAGATGTGCTGGCTGCAGTGATGGGCGCTGGGGGTGTGGAAACAACCCCAGGCATCGGGAAGTCTGGGATTCTGACTGATTGTCTAAGGTAGTGATTTGTGTTCCAGTTGACACTTTATTTTCTGGCACATACAGTATTTATGAGTTGGTGGAAGTTAAAATGACCACCACAGGTGAATAAAACCAATGATTCTGCTGGATTTCTTATTTATCCAAAGAGTTTAGAGTTTGTTTCTCATTTAAATTAAGAACTATTGGGGCGTCTGGGTGGCTCAGTCGGTTAGGCATCTGACTTCGGCTCAGGTCATGATCTTGCAGTTCATGGGTTGGAGCCCCGCATCCGGCTCTGTGCTGACAGCTCAGAGTCTGAAGCCTGCTTCAGATTCTGTCTCCTTCTCTCTCTGACCGTCCCCCACTCACGCTCTTTCTCTCTCAAAGATAAATAAACATAAAAAAAAAAAGAAATCTATATCTATGTATATGTTTGTTAACGTATAATATTATATTCTGTAGTATGTTATCAAACATACAAATCTACTTTGTATCCTGCTTTTTTCTTTTTAGCCACAGATGATGGATCTATTTTCATGTCAACACATACATATAGATACACCTCATTGTTTGCGCTACTGTCACTCCTTAAACTGTCATCGCCTTTCTACTCCCTGGCACCGGATTCCACTTTAAGGATACACTGATTGATTTAAGCAAACCCCCTACCGATGGACATTTAAGTTGTTTCCAACTTTTGCCTTTATAGGTTTTTGCACACTTGCTTCGTTATTTCTCTGCAATCCAATCCCGGAAGCAGAATTCCCAGCTCGAGGGAAGAGGCCTATCCAATGCTGACATACTCAGATGATTATAAATGAGGGTTTAGGGAGGAGTCTGCCCAGCTTGGAGCAGGTTAAGATACCCAGCCAGCGGGTCAGACTGCCAATGCGCTGTGTTACCCTGGGGGTGCCGCTCCCCGTCTCTGGTTCTGTGCTGACATTAAGTGAAGGCAGTGGTCTCTGAGGGTCATTCCAGCTCTGATGTCTGTAGTCCTGCTACGTCCAGTGGCAGGGAAGGCTTGGGGTGTGGCAGGGGCTGAAGGGGGAGGGGACTCACCCGCAGGTGGGTGCCAGAGATGAGGTCTGGGGTGACTGGCTTCCACTGTTCAGAGCCTTCCTCCTGGACACTGATGAGGTAGCCTGTGACGGGGCCAGCCCCAGTGTACAGCGGGGACTCCCACTTCAGCATCAGGGAGGTGGCCCGCACCTCCAACGCCTGCACTTCATATGGGGGGCCTGTGGGAGGGGAGTAGAGGAGGCGTTGGCCAGCCAGCCAGATGGGCAGCGAGCAGGGCGGTCAGTCGTCAACCTTGTCAACCTGGAAGCGCCTGCTTTGGGCCTAGTGGGGACCTGGCTGGACTTGGCTTCACGACAAAGCTTGGTCTTGGTCTGGGCCTGAGATGGGGTAAACTTTTCAAAATGTGCTCAGCATCACTTCCGGAAGCATCCATGATCTTCTCCCTCCCTATTCCAGGCGGCAGTCACCCTTCTAATGTCTTTGCTATTTCAGTGATTAGTGTTGGGGCTAAAGGATGAGTCCCGGGGTCAGATCCCCGAGGTCCGTGCCCCAGCGTCAGGCTTTGGGGACTCTGGGCAAGTTCCTCGACCCTTCTGTTCCTGTCTCCTCGTCTGCAAAATGTGGATAATGATAATTATTATAATCTAGTGTTGTTGTGAGCATGAATGGTGTAATTTGTGGAATCTGTCCATACATGGGAAGTACCCAATAAATATCAGTTGTTTATAATTACTGTCTAAAGTATCACACATACTAATTATCTACCATTCGGTTAAAAAAATCCCCAGCACTGAGCTGAACAGAATGATGGAAGACTGTGATCCTTCCTTCCTAGGGAGGAGGTGGGGGCTCATCTGAGAGAAAGCTAACGGCGTTGTGAGAGGGGTGTGCAGGGTGTCGGTCACCCTAACAGTGTACCCTTGGGGTTGACATTGGTCTGTGGCCAAAACCAGAGCTCAGATGGTGTGCTGAGCTAGGGGATAGTCTATGCTGAGGGTACAGAGCCCGCTGATGGCCAAGGTCAGGGGTTCTCTAAGGCAAGGTTATGACTGTCTGTGTCAGAGGTTATAAGGTCTGATGGTGGAAGGGGCCAGGGTTTTGAGATCTGGGAACAACAGAGCAAGCTCGGGTGCACAGAAAGCTTGGTGACATCCATCTCTCTGGTTGAACTTGGGGGACGGGTGAGAGCAGGTGCTGGACTCCAGCATCTTCTGAACTCTCACCTGGTTGGGGCATCGTCCACTCTTTGCACTCAAACAGGCTGCTGGGCGCCGACAGCTCACCAACGCCGGCCCAGTTTGCTGCCCGGGCACGGAACTCATAGAAGTGGCCTTCGCGAAGGTTACTGACCTTGGAGAGTAGAGACAGATGGTGAAAGCCAAGGCTGGGGCAGAAAGGGAAAGGGGTGCGGCAGCGGCGGGGGGAGGTCAGAGCAGGAAGTCTATGGGGCCTTAAACAAGATGAGTCAAGTGAGTCCACACTTGAGGATTCGCTAGATGATTAAGTTGAGGGAACCTGAGGCCTTTGTGGCTTCAGGGCCTCTACTAGCGACCGCTGGTCTCTACCCGCTGGCCCACACTGCAGGCTTACCTTGCAGACCCGGGTGGGGATGGGCTGCTGGTTGACTGGGTGCCAGTCCAGCTCCTCTGAGTCATGCTGGTCCAGGAAGTAGCCCAGGATCTTGCCGCCTCCACGACGCTTGGGGGGCTTCCACCCAATGACCATATCATTTTTCCCACAGCTCAGGAGCGCGAAGTCATATGGGGCAGATGGTGTGGCTGCGGGGAGGAGGGAAGTGAGGGCCACTGCTTCCTTAGGGGCGGCCAGATTGGGAGTCCAGACTGCCCCATGGCCTCAGGCCATTGTCATTTCCTCCCAAAAGTAAAGGAGGGGTAGTGCTCAGGGTTGGCTTTAGTTCCCCTCAGAGGACTTATGCCCCCTCGGTCTCTGGGTTTGGACCCTCTGAGATGTGGTCTATAAGCCCCGCTCTCTGCCCGGCTCAGGGCTGCCCCAAGAGATGTGCAGGCTGGACCTGCCCTTTGGACTTACCCAGAGCCTGCTTGACCCTGATGGGCTCCGTGATAGCTGAGCTCTCACCTACCCCCGCCTCGCTGACTGATCGGACACAAAACTCGTACTCCTTCCCGGTCCTCAGCCCGGGAACTGTAAACCTGGAAGAGAAATGTGCAAGCTTTCAGGGAGCGTTCAGCTAGTGTTTGCTGAATAAGAGGCCATGGCGGTCAGGTTCCAATTTTCCACTACTAGCTAAGGGACATTGGCAAGTTGCTTATGCCTCAGTTTCCTCATCTGTATAGTGATAATGAAAATAAGAGTTCTAAACTCAGAGGATTGCAGTCAGAACGAACTGACCTAACCTAGGAAAAGAGCTTAGAACAGTGCCCAGTGCCCAGCAGCACATTGTGAAATGGCGGGCGCCACCAGCCTTATGGCCCCTCCTTGAGGAAGGCTGGGGCAAAACTCACTTGTTGCCCTGGATGGGTTTGTTGTTAACCGTTTGCCACTCAGATGATCCTGCCTCCCGGGAGTAGATGTAATAACCAAGGAGCTCTGGGCTGTCTTTCACGGGGTCCCAGGTCAGGGACACAGAGGTCTGCGTGTCTCGGAATGCTTGAACTTGAGCTGGAGGAGGCAGAGTAGCTAAAAAACAGAAAGGTAGGTGGTGTGAGGATGCGGAGGGGAGGGGAGGGCTGTGGGGAGAGACTGAGAGGAGACCCTACTGCAATCAAGGGTGACAGACATGCCCTGGGGCTTCGGGCATCCCCTCCTGGGCCCAGGGGCATGCCCCAGACTATTATTCTCAAGTCCTCCCCCGTCTTACTTCCAAATGTCTCTGCTTCCTCACTAAAGCTTCCATCCATTAATCCTTAGTCTCTGTCCGCTCCCTCCTCACGGTCTCTCTCTTTGGCTTTTTTTGTGTCTTCTCATTTTTGTACAATAATTTTACTTTTACAATACAAGTAAATGCTTTTTATTTTTTCCTCCCTTCCCTCCCCCTCTCCCCTCTTTTTCTCTCCTTTCCTTTTCTGAACTATACAGGAACATTGCCCTAACACTTCCTTATGGTCCAGAGATTGCTCACATCTGATCACAAACTGCTCACTGGCCAGACTCCGAACCGTGTCTACATGTTACCTGGGCCAGAATTAAAGAAAAACACCACTTGCCCACCAATCCATTCACACTTGCTATGAATATATATATGTGTATATATATGTACACATACACACACATACACACACACACACACACACACACACACACACATTCTAAATTAGTGAAACAGATCAAATCTAGGACTTTGCTATCTTCCCCAAATGGGCCCTGTGGCACTTGAGTCTTTTCTTGGAAAGGATGTGCTGCAGCTGGGTTCCTTAAAGGGCTAGTCAGCCATGACAGCTGCAGGGAACTTCTGATCTCACCAAAACACAAAGAACCCCAGAATCCAGAGGCCTCAGAGGAGGGAAGGGCTCTGGGAGGCTGGGACCAGGATGGAGAAGCAGTTGGGAGACTCAGACAGGGGCGGGAGGTGGAAGCAGTAACCAGGCTTTCAGAACAATAGGTTCGGTGGGTGAGGACACGGGGCTTGAAGCTAGGGAATGACTTGCCCAGGCGCACACCATGCTGCTGATGGCAAGTGTCCTGCCTGGGCTTGGAGCAGGACAGCTTTAGAGCCGAGGGACCACGTGCACACACTCAGCTCCTGCGCTGCACCAGCTGGGTTCTGCAGCCTGTGAACTGTTGCCTCTGGAAAAATCTTCCATATTCTCACGAGCTCCCCACCCAGAGGAATGTGATTCCTGATGTTCTGCAATCAGGGCTGAGAGCAGGCTGCTTTTCAGCTTCATGATAGGTAGAAGGGGTCAGGGATGGGGAATTGAGCAGGGCTTTGTCTCCGCAGTGATGGAGTCCCGGTCTGGATGCTGATGGCCCTGCCTGGCCTGGTCTGGCCCCCACCCCCACCCCCCTCGCATCACACAGGTACCTGGCTTCCCCCTCAAGGCGATGGGCTCGCTGGGCTCTGATGCATCGCTCATGCCGTACTGGTTTATTGATCGCACTCTGAAGACATAGGACTTCCCTTTCTCCAGATCCAAAAGGGCGAATCTTGGGGATTTCACAGGGGTTTCTGAGATGATGGCCTCCCAGGTGCCACTACCTATGACCGACTGTGACAAAGGAAAGAAACTCGCATGAATTAAGCAGCTGTTTGGGACTGGGCTCTGTGCCCATACACGCTCCCGTTAACTTCTAACCCCCGGCCCAGGCTGCCATTGAACACTGAGCTCTGGGTCCCCTGTCTCCTCCACATCTCTGCCTGTGTCTCACATTCAACACGTCTAGAACTTGACTCTGGATCTTGCCCCCAAACCCACCCATATTTGGTTGGGTAGGACCATCCTTCTAATTGCTCAGGACAAAATCCTTGAACCCATCCCAGGCTCCTGCCCTCTGACCCTCACATCCCATATGTGCTCCGTCAAAAAATTCAGTTGCCCCACCTTCAACATTTATCCAGAATCCAGCCTTGGCGTACCACCCTAGTGACCCCTGCTACAGCCTTGATCCAAGCTATCAACATCATCATCATCATCATCATCATCATCATCACCATCTCTCAGCTGAGCTATGTCACTCTTTTCTCCAAATGACAATCAGAAGGACCCTTTCAGAACACAAGTCAGATCACATCCCCACCTGCCCAGCTGACATCTCCGTCAGGGCGAAAGCTTCTTCATGGCCTGACTCCTGCTACCCTTCTGGCCACATGCACTTCGTCCTTCACCCTGTGCCTCCCTGATCTTCCTGATGGCACCAGGACCAACTCCTGCCTCTGGGTCTTTGCACTTCCTGGTCTCTTTGCCTTGGATGTTTTTCCCCCAGAAATCTCTACGAGGCTCCTCATTTAGCTTTAGGTTTTTATTCAAAACTCCCCACCTCAGAGAGTACTCCCCAGCTCCCCATCTAAAAGGTCAGCCAACCTTCCCCCAAATACTTCAACCCCATGCTCTGCTTTTTGATTTTCTCCTTAACACCTACCACTGGTTGACGTGCTAAGTATTTTCCTGATTTATCTTCTTTACCATTGGCCCCACACTCCTTACTCGATTCTCAGCTCCATGAGCCAGGGGTTTGTCTGTTTCATTCACTGCCAGATCCCTAGGGCCCAGAATTGCACTGGTACGTAGGGGGTGTGCAGTCTATGTATGTGGGACCACAGGTGAGACAATGAATGAATTCTCACAATAACCCTGCAAGCTATGTGTTAATGTCCCCACCAGTGAGAAATCTTGGGTTCAGGGAGTGTTGGTCACTTGGCTGAAAGTCATGCATCTAATAACTGGTGTGTCTGGTATTTAAGCTCAGGTGTGGGCACCTCCAAAGCTGCTCACTCTTCACAGCATAAGGGACCCCAAAGGTGGAAGATCCTGCATCTCTGAGCAGATAGAGGGTGAAGAGCTGAATGGGGAGGTAGGCAAGTAAGGTGCCCAGAGGCCACTTCCGCTGAGTCTGGGTATGACGGTTAAGACACGGAAGCACTGGGGGAACTCACTGACCCTGCCCTCTCTGTGCTTTCCCTTCCCAAGGCCCACCCACCTATCAGTAGTCCAGAACCCAGCTAGGCCGAAAAAATCACAATAAAAACCAGCAGACATTGCTGAGCCCCTACTGTCTGCCAGGTTCTATTCTAAGTCCTTACGTACTTTCATTAATTTGATCCTCATGTTGGCTCTATAAGGTGTGTACCGTTATTATCTCTCTTTTACGGAAGAAGAAACTGAGGCACAGAGAGACTGAATAACTTGTCCAAGGACACACAGCCAGTAAGTAACAGAGACCAGAGTTGAACTCAGGCAACCTGACTCCAATATTTGAGCCATCACATGATACAGCCTCACAAAACAAAGCCCCAACGATCCACGGCTTTCCTATGTGGGAAAAACAGGACCACCCGTGCGTGTGCAAAGAGAGGCCCATTTGAACCATCAGAGGCAGAGACTCCTCCCTGGAACTTTTACCAACCCTGTGCTGTCCCCATACTACGTGCCAGGTCGTGTGCCGGGTGCAGCAAGTAATGAGAAGGTAACTCTGCTCTCTTCCTTTAGGGGAGGTGGAGTCAGGAAAGTGTCCTCCGGATAGTCGATAGGCTCCGAGCTGCTGGCCCAGCAGTGCGCTGCAGCTTATTTCACCCTCCATGCGATGCTGGAGGAAACTGAGGCTCAGGGAGCTCAGGAAACTGGCTCACACGGCAGGAGGCAGGATTTGAGTTGATCTTAACACCATGCTGGTTTTTACTCTGCCAGCTGCCTCCCCTCCACTGTGAAATCCACTCCGAATGAGCTGCCTGCTCGCAGCCCCAGACACCTGCCCCCACTCTGTCTGGGTGAGAACTGCCTCCGTCATACCCGCCCTGCCCCCGGCCCACCTACCGAGTGAGGGCTGCCGGCCGTGACCCTGGCTCCAGGGTACCCTCCCAATGTAGCCCTGGCCAGAAAGAAGGGCTTGACCAGATGTGTAACCCTGGAAATGGTGGATTGTACTGCTGCTGTTGTTGTCTGTGTCCCTTAATTCTGTGTATTTCCATGAATGGCCTCAGGAGCCGCCGCCAGGGACTGGCCGGGCAGGCTGAGGTCACTTCAAAGGGTCTGCCCCCACGTAGGGCCAACCTCAGCCTTTTCAGGCAGGATTCCCATCCAGGGGGCACTGCCTGAGGTCTCTCGGTGCTTCCCCCAGCCCCTCACACCTCTGGTGTGACAGCACGCCTACTCTTTGGCCCGGGCTGGGTCTGGGGTCCCTGGAGTCTCGTACCTTCTCCAGAGAGTACGTCAGTGGGGCTTTGCCCCGGGGCCTTGGCTCATCCCAGCCCAGAACCACGTAGGCATCACGGATCTCACTGGCGTGGACATTGGTCGGGGGTGACGGGATGGTCACAAAGTCTGGAATCAGAGTTGTCGAGGGGCAGAGATGGGTGGTGGGCCGTCAGAGACCCCTCATTTCATAGAGGAGGAAATGGGCCCAGAGAGGGGCAGGAGCTTGCTCCAGGCCACCCAGCAAGGCCAGGCTGAGCCAGGGCGAGAGGCCAGGTCTCCCGAGGTCCTCCCCGGGACTTTCCCTTATGTGTCACCTCCTTCACAAGGGACACAGCAAGATGGGCCACCATCACCCAAGAACACTGGCCTCCTCCGACCAGACCTCCCCACCCTCCCCTCCCCACACCCCACATGTGGACAGCTTCTGCGTCTCTGCCGGTTTGTGTCCCAGAGTTTCTAGAACCATAAAGGAAGCTGGAATCTTGAGGCCAAGTGTCAGGAGGTTTACACATACCTTCAAAATCATCTGTGCTGACCGTGATCTTGTTTCCCAGGTCAAAGGGGATCTCTAGGGTGGAGAATGGAGCATGTTGGGGGAGGGGAAGGGGGTGCAGGGGGTGCAAGCAGGGGGGTGGGGGCTGGGCAGGAGGGGTCAGGGCAGGACATGCCAACTCTGGGTGCTGATTCCTTGCCCTGTTCCCAGTCCTGTTTGACCTCAAGCAGGTGCTGTCTGAGCCCCTGTATTCTCGGGGTCTAAAGTGGGACACTGCTATTCTAGGCCCCAAGAACAGGGCAAATCTTGTCTTCTTGGGGCAAATGGGGACAGAAGAGAAGTGATGTGTCTGGGGGCAGATACCTAGGGCATGGTGGAGCTGGAAGGCAAACCCAAGTCAGGCTGACCCCTCAATGCTGAAAGGGTGGTGCCCCCCACCACATGCCCCCAAGGCTGATGGCTCCTGAAGCAGGGCTGTGGTCCTCCCTCAGATTAGCATCTCCTGTGGGCAGATTTGTGTTCCTTCCATCAGACTAGCTATACCTTCCCCTTCAGGCCAGGGACTCCTAAGGACAACACTGTGCTTCTTCTAACAGCCAGGGGTTCCTGAGACTGTGTCTTCCCCATCAGACTAGGGGTTCCTGAGACTCTGTCTTCCCCATCAGACTAGGGGTTCCTGAGACTGTGTCTCCTCCATCAGACTAGCGGTTCTTGAGACTGTCTTCCCCATCAGGTTAGGAGTTCCTGAGGCTGTGCTGTGTCCCCCCACCCCGCCCCTTGGACTAGGGCTTGGAATGGGGGCTGGGGCACCTGTGTCCTGCATGAGGCAGTCCCACACGTGCCCCGACTGACCCTCTAGACTGTCCCTTCAGGGCCTCTGTACCCACCTTTCTTTCTCCGGGCTTCATCACGGTCGCCCATGACAACCACGTCTGAAGCCTTGGAGGGGAGGCTGCTTCCCGCCCTGCTCACGGCTCTCACCCGGAACCGATAGCTCTGGCCTTCGATGAGGCCTTGGACGGGGCACCGGCAGGTCCCACCGGGGGCCACGTGGCAGGGCACCCACTGCCCAGACTCGCCCTGGCACCTGTTGGAGAGAGGCCTCGGCTCCAGCCCCTGCCCGTGACTTCAGCTTCTCCACCCAGCCTGCTGGCCCTGCTCATGGCTGCCAGTTACAGTCCTGCTGTCCGTTCAGAAGCCTGGCTCTGACCTCGGGCCCCCAGGAGGCCTCATCACCACCCTTGACCACCGCGCCGATCACGACAGCTAGTGCCTGCATGCGCCTCCTGTGCGTCTGGAGTTGCGCTGCAGCCTCCCAGCCGCCCTGTGTCACCTCCACGCTTCAAATGGGGGGGTCCCTTCTGGGCTCAGACAGTGGGATGTGCCGTGAGTCACATGGCTCGGGAGCGGCAGAGATAGGATTTCGCCCAAGGGCTGTCCACGTTGGCGTGCACTCCAGAGTGACTCTCAGGGTGTGGGCTCTCTGTGCCCTCTGGGTGCCCTGTGCTCTGGCGGTTTCCCAGCACGTGCTGAGGCCGGATGGGGCAGTGGGCACATGGGGGCTACATCCCGACTCTGCCACCAATGAGCACATGCCTTGGGCAGTCACCCCATGTGCCTCAGTTTCCCCATCTGTAGGATGGGCGCTAACCAGCCGGGCACCCCCCTGGATAGGAATTGCGAGGATCAGCGAGGTAAGGCACGTGGCCCAGCACACAGCCTATGAGTCTGGCCACGGGGGGACTGGGTGTTACCTCACGCTGGGGCCTCATAGCAAAGAAGGTGGGATGTCCAGCTCCTCCCCTTCCTCCTGTGTCCCCTCCTTCTGGGTCAGTGCTGTCCTGTCCCTGCCTGTCACTCAGGGGGGAAACCCATATCTGCTTGTGCTCAGTTTCAAGCATTTACTGTTTGCCCTCCCAGGGTCCAGGGGGCTGACTCTGGTGATGCAAGTCCAGATCTGGAGGCACGGTTACCCCCTTCTAGCTGCTAAATCATATAACCCGGGCCACCTCCTGCCCTGTTCTGAGGTTAGGTCTGGGGCCCCCTCTTTCCTGTGGCCCCCACTCTTGTTCTCACAACCAGGCAGAGTACTCCCTGGAGACTCTGCCACTCGGGAGGCTGACTCACCGCTCAATGCTGTAGCTGGTGATGGGGCTGCCCCGGGTGTCGCTGGGCGGGGTCCAGGTCAGGGTGAGGCAGTCTCTGTTCACATTCAGGCAGCGGACATTCAGAGGGGAGCCTGGGGCCCCCGGCTTCTCGGCTGCCGCATCTGAAACCCAGAGCGGAGGGTTGGGGGCGGAAGCTTCTTCTAGTCCATGTCTACCTGCTAAGTGACCCCTCCCACTCCCGCCAGCAACCTCTTTGCACGAACCCTCCAGGGCTCGGCGTTGGTTTTGAGGACCAGGACCTGCATAACGGCCTCCTCCTTTTAAACAACAGCATCTGGGGGGCTGTGGGAGTGCCAAGTACTGGGGCCCATTCTACTCCAGGCCCCAGAAGGATCAGTGTAATAAATCCCTGAATCCTGTAGCATCCCATTCTGTGGATGGGAAAACTGAGCCTCATAGAGGTAAAGTGACGCGCCCAAGGCGGTGAAGTGGCTAAGCCGGGATTTGAAACCAGTTCAAAGACCAAGAGGCAGAACTCACCAGGTGCTAGATTGTTCCAGCCCATGCTCAGCCCTCCCTCCACAGCTCCCACTAAGTCTGAGACCCTGCTGTGCCCCAGGGTCTTAGGATGTAACAGGGATTCTTAGAGACTCCCACTCAACACCCCTATTTATAACGGGGAAACTGAGACCCCAAGAGGGTAGAAAACTCACCCAAGGTCCCACAGCCAATGTGGTGTCTGCACTCTTACACTCTCTACCCTTGGTGGCCCCTCTCACCTCTCACGAACACGTAGGTGCTCTGCTCCTGGGGCCCGAAGGGTGAAGGCACCTGGATAGTGTAGAGCCCCTCATCCTCCTTATAGGCACAGGACACCTTCAGGCATGCCTGGCGGTCTGCGTAGAGGGTCTGTCGGCGACCTGAGGCTCTCAGTAGTCTCCCTGAGGAGGGGAGGGGTCGAGGGTGAGCTCTGGCCTCCCCTGGGGACCCTTAAGATCCCCCTGGTCTGGGGGTTTAGGCAGAGGCGTGGCTGGCGTGGCTGTGGCCTGGGGAGGTGGGAGGAGGTGGCTGCCTCCAGGGCTCTGCCAGTGTGATCCTGAACTCTCCCCTGCAGAAGCGTGGGGAGCAGGCCAGGGCCCAGTGGGATGGGAGTTCAGTGAAGCGGTCAGCGGCTCAGCGAGGCTTTGGAGATGCTGCGAGAAAATGGGAACAGGAGAGACGGGGCCCTTTGTGAGACGGGTGTCTGCGGGGCAGCCGGGTGTTCATTGTGCATGTTGGGGGCTCAGTGGGTGGGGGCTGGGGGCTCACGGAGGGAGCTGGGGTGTCCGTGAGGAGGGCAGAGGACTCGTTGAGGCGGGTAGGGTCAGTGGAGAGAGCGAGGACTCAGTTGTGTGACTGTAGTGAGAGGGACGGGGAGCTTTGGGGCTCAGGGAGGGCGTCCTGCCCTGAGGCCACACTGTGGGGCCATGCTGCTCTCCGTCCCTCCGTCCTGTCAGGACCTCTGTTCTAGAAGATGGACAGGTTTGGGAAGACATCTCCTCCTTATTGCAACTGTTTCTCAGGGCTTCCTGCAGCTTCCCCACTCTTCTGCCCCCTGCCGCCAGCAGGTGCCATCTCCCTAGGGGCGCTTGCAGGGGGGTGGGGCTGATCTTCTTGATCTGTGGCCGTAGGCCACGGTCACGGTCACAGTCCAGCCTCCCTTCTCCTCCCTGGCTGCCAATGGGCATGGCTTTGGCTCCCTCCCTCCTCCTCTTGAGTTCCTGCACATCTGCCCATCCCTGCCCTGGTCCCCAGCATGGGGCCTGGCACCCACAGGTGCCTCCTGGCCCTTGTAGGGTGACCTGATCTGAATCCACCTGGCTCTTCTCCCTCTTCAGCACTCATCACTCAGCTTGTACTTGGGGAGGGGCAGAGCTCAGCTCCTTCCTCCACTGACCCAGGGACCAGTGTTGGGGATGGAGTCAAGGCTCTAGCCCCTCTCTGGCTTCCCCCGCTGCCTCTGAAGGCTGGAGGCCAGCACAAGGGGTCCTCACCATCTCGGTACCACTGGATGTTCTGTTCAGCATCTAACACATCTTCCGAAAATAAGCAGGACAGGGAGAAGGGCTCCTTCTCTCGGGCAAAGACTGGCTTCAGCACCGATGTGAATTCCACGCTGGAGCCAAGCATCAGTCCTGGGGTGGGAACAGAAGCGAGGTCAGCAGCCTTCTGAGGCCACCTGCCTAGCCTGGGACGTCTCACGCCTCTGGGTCAGGATTCACAGTCCCTGAGGTGGTCTTCACGAGGAAAGAGGGGCCGGGTCCTGGGGGTGGAGGTGGGGCAGAGATTTATCTAGGTAGGATCAGATGAACCAAAATAAGAACTATCCAAAGTCATGTCCCTTTGTTTGGCTTTGCCTTTCTCACTCAGTTTTGGCCCCTGGACAGCTTGGCAGCTGGGGTCAGCTGGGGAGCACTTGGGGAGCACCCCCCCATCAGTGTGCAAGCTCATAGGCAATGACATACCTTCATGGGCAATGGATGGCTAATATTCTAAAGGGGGCTTTGGAAGGTATGACCAGGAGCCCAGATACCCCCTCCCTGAAGGCCATCCCGCCCAGAGCCTCCTTACTTTTAAAGATCTCCGAATCGAAGCCAGCTTCCTTCCCCACATAAGCTGAAAGGTCAAAGCAAATGGAGTTTGAGAAGGTTCAGACCTCACACTCCTACTAGATTAGAGGTGTGGGTTTGAGGCCTCTGGGTCTGTTGGTGGGTCCCTCTTTGGCTGCTGGAAGTTCCTTCGCCCCTATTGGCCTCTATTCCTTCCTTGGTAAAATGTGGACAGTGGTTCCTAGCTGATGGTCATGGGGCTCTGAATAAGTGAGTTCACCTGAACCAGGCCCTCAGCTAGAGCCTGACAGAAAGTTGGGGCTTCCTCCTCTGCCCAAAACCACTGCCAGGATCATAGTCTTCATGGAGGCTGAGTCTGGTTGTTAGGGACGGCCAGCAGGGGAAGGACAGTGCTCAGAGAGCCATGTGGGGGGTTAAGGGTGAAATCCAAGGTGATATGACACAGACCACCAGAGGATAGTAACAGCCCTGGTCACATGGGGCATACTGGGTGCCCCATATTAACTCATTTCCTCCTCACAGCATCCTGTCTGTTAATGCTGTTATCATCCTCTCACACAGATGAGGAAACTGAGGCGTAATCACCCAGCAAGCACCGCAGAAGCCTGAAGCCATGATGTGACTGGTCCCTGGTAAGGCCCTTCCTGAGCGAGGCCTGGAGAGGGTCAGGAGGCTGCCCAAAGTCACACAAAGTCAGGGAAAGACTCAGGATTAGAACCCAGAGCTCCTACGTCCCAACGCAGGGCCTTCTATCAGTTGCTATGGAGATGAGAGCAGGGAAAGGGTAATGATGGTGAGCGGGTGCTCCACGTAGGCGTCTGGCTGGAGTCTGGGGGCCGAGGAGCTGGATCCCAGGGATGCTGGCCATGATGGAGGGAGCGGTGGGGGTCTGGGAGAAGTGATGGGAAGGATAGGTGGACAGAGGGAGGCAGGGCCCTGATGCCTGACCTTGGCTTGACTCTAGGCACAGCCTTTAAGGACAGCCTAGACTCCACAGACAGCCAGGCTGGCAGAGGGCACAAGATCTATTTGGGGAACAGGGCAGAGGGGTGGAGAGGGCTGTGAAGGACAGTTTAACAAGGTCTGATGAGAGGCAGGGAGGGGGCTGGACTCCAGCCGGTCCGCTGACCAGGGACTGTGTGTGTGTGTGTGTGTGTGTGTGTGTGTGTGCATGCACACATGCGCACATGCAACCTCTCTCTCAGGGGCCCTGCAGACGAGGCAGCACTCTCCAGGGCCCGGAGGTATGGCTTCCCGGCTACACCCTGCCCTCGTCGTGGGGCGGAGGATAGAGAGCTATCCCTCCCCAAAGCCGAGTGCACGCCAAGCTTTATCTACACCTTTGCATTTAATCAGCCGGAGCACCTGAGCGAAGTAGAAGGTGTCCCCCTTTACACCCCAGGAGGCTCAGAGTAGTAAAGCGAGGTGACCTAGGCTCACACAGTCCGTCGGTTGCAAAGCTAGCGTGTGGACATGGGTCTGGCTGACTCCTGAGTGTCTCCCCTGCTTTATGCTGTCATTTCAGATGCCCCCGCCCCAGGGGGGACCTCCAGGATTGGAATCACACCAGCTGGGAACTGCACAATTGGGAAATATGCACCGGAACCCAGTTGGGGCAGCGAGGTCAAGAGGGGAGTTGGTGGGGCTCAGCCCTTCCCCCTGAGGCCCTCTCAGGAGGGCTGGCAAGGCTGGACCACCCTTCCGGGAGCCCCGAGTTGGATCTGGAGCCAAGCCCACCCTGAGAAGATGAGTGTGCTTTTTGGAGACTGTGCAGTCTAAGGGAGGTGCCTCTCACTCGCTCCAAAAGCCCCAAGGAGGTGAGTGTCTGTGGCTGCCCTGGTCAGCCGATTTCAGGCCAAACGCCCCCGTGCCAAGGGCCCTTGATGCCTGTCCTCATCTGCTCGTCCTGGGTTTACCGTGTGCTGACCCGGCGGCTGGAATGGGAATGCTTACTTCGGACGAGGACTTTGGCGAAGGAGGAGGCCTGGCCATAGGCATTCTTCACCAGCACCGTGTAGGTGGCTGCGTCCTCAATGGTGCATCTGAAAAGGAGAGTAGGACCCCCCTGCTAGGTTGCTGGTCTCCATCAGAAACTCAGGTCCCCATGGATGGGTAGGAAAGGCGGGGATTAACAAGAAGCCCTCACAAGGGAGACATTAGGTTTTAGTTCAGGACCCACCTCTGAAAAGCTATGTGCCTTTGGGCTGGCCACTGCCCTTTGCTAGGTCTCCATGTCCTTCTCTGAAGAACTAGGGACACAACACCAGCCTAACCCACCTCAGGGGAAAGTGCTGTGCAAATACGATTGTTATTACTGACTCTGTAAGATCAGAGAGGTTAAGTGACTTGCCCAGAGTCACACAGCACCCAGACTTCAACCCAGCTCCAAGGTGACAAGCTCTCTTACAAGGCAGAGCCTCCCGCCCTGTCAACACCTCCAAATCAGAATCCTGGAGCGGGAGCAGGGCAGGGACTTGCCCAAGTCACGCCGCCAGTCGGTGCCAGAACTGGGCCAGATGCCCAGGTGTTCTCAATCTCAGGCCTGGGTCTCATCACCAGTCAGGCCAACCCCCGTCTTGTTCCCAGTGGAGCTCGGGCTGGCTCCGTTCCAGAACCATGTGGTGACAAACAGAGTCGCCGGTAGGATGTGGCACATCTGGTCCCCAAAGTGAGCAGAGAGGCTCCTCGGTGTCCCCGCTCTGACCCTGGCTGCTTGGGGCAGGAACCCCTCTTGCTTCAGGAACCGGTCCCACTTGCCCCTCTAGGCAACCCCAGCCCTGCGTGCCTCCCCCGACCGTGCAGCCCACGGCACGTCCCTCTGTGGCACCGAGTGGTCAGACATTTACGTCCAGGTCTCCCCACTTTGCTTCTGCAGAGTAGGCTCAAGGCCCTGTCTATATCCGTGTCTCTGAAGCCCAAGCTGGTCGAGATGGGGGGATTAGCGCACTGGAAACAACCCAGGTGGAGAGAAGGGCCTCCAGCCCGGGCCCTCCCCTGCCCAAGCCGTGCAAGCCCTTGACCCTCGGAGCCTGGATTTCCTCTCCCGTAACATGGACATGACATTGCTTCCTGGCAAGAACGGCCCTGGGCATTATGAGCCACAGACGCGCAGCACCTAGCGCAGGGCTCAGCGCCGGCTCCAGCACGGGCAGCTCACGGAACACTGGCGCCGGCTCTGGGGAGGGCTGTGCTCGTGCGGCTCCCTCCGTGCACGCGGCTTCTCCCTTCACAACCGAGCTTACGACTCACGTCTCCTGAAAGGCCCATCCAACTGCTTCCCTCGAACCACTTCCCCTTGGACTCGTGCGTGTGCGTGCGTGTGCGGGCGAGCATGGACGCGTGTTTTCTCCCCTCCAGCAAGGGGCGCGCCCAGCCTTCCTAGCCCACCATTCAGTCCTTCCCGCTCGCCCCTGACTCCGTATTCCTTACTGTGTGTTCCAGGCATTGGAAACGCACGGGTGTGTGTCAAATCCCAATCCCTGGGTCCCACTCCAGGTTCAGACCTCCTTAATCTGCCTCTCGGGAGGAGGATCTGTCCCACGAATCAGTGTTTTAACAAGCACCCCAGATTCTTCTGCAGATGAGGCCGGTGCAGAAATCCTGCTCTGGCTTCGGGACTGTCGGGGCCCGGGGGTCATGGGTCTCTCCGGGGCTCACAGTCTCACCTCCTAATCTCCAGCGTCAGCAGCCCATAGTTGTTGGTGATTCGGTACTTTCCAGCAGGAAAGAGGCGGGGATCGATTCGCATGTCATTTTTGTACCTGTGGAGACACGGTGTGGCTCTGAGCGGGAAGGATTGGAGCCTCTCAGGCCTGGATTCCGACCTCAGCTTTGTTCTCTTTACTTGCCTATGTGACCCGAGGCAGCCCTCTCACTGCACTGAACCTCAGTTGTCCTCATCTGTGAAATGGGAATATTAAAAGCATTAAACGGGATAAGCTATGTAAAGCTTTTCTCTGGTGCCCTGAGTACCGTAGATGCTCCTGGGAAGCTGGGAAGAGGGAGCCTGTAATTAAAGGTCGCTGCCCCTTCCCCTGCCAGAGGCCCCCCTGGGACTAGGACCCAGATTTTCCCTCCTCTCTGAGGGGGGTGCCAAGGAAGGTGCCCCCATTCCTACCTCCCTCCTTAACCCTTTCAGAATGGCAATTTTTTTTACCTCGGCTCTCATTAGAAATGCTGGAGAGAGCTTGGAAAATCCCCATGCCCAGATTCTGAATACAAGGCTTTGGGAATTTGGGTCAGAAGCTGTTCAATAGCCATTCTCTCTTATGCTAAAGGAAAAGGGTTCATCGCTGGGCCACCCAGTGTGTAACATATTTCCTACCCTCTCTTTCTGCTAGGTGTGGCCATGTGACTAAGTCCTGACAACTACTAGTGTCACGTGGCTGCCATCGATGACCCTTTGCCCCCTTTTATGTCATCTTCCCCTCCATCCTATGGCAGGAACACGGCCCCGGAGGGCGGGCACCTCGCGCCGGGAAGGCCTGGGGCTGCGCTCTCCAGCAGTGAGCGGGAACAGGCCTGAGTCCCCAAGGAATCTGCGAGCAGAGTCGCAGTGGCCGCCCCACCTTGGCACTCGGGTGAAGGAAAAATAAACTTTTTATCTTATTTAAACCATTAAAAAAAATCCCCATGTCCGACTGTGCCTCAGATCACTGTGGGGTCAGAAATTCTGGGGTGGGGCCCAGGCAGCAGTCACCCCCCAATGTGACTCCCAAGGTTGGTGCAGCAAATTGCCCCAGCCACTGCCCTCCACCCAAAGTGGACACTGCCCTTTGTTTTCTGTTGACTCTGGGGTCTTGTGGACTTTTCTGTGGACTCACTGGACGGTGAGGTGGCCTCGCCTGTGTCCACGGACCGTGGCAGGGTTTTGGAAGCCGAAGGAATCAGGGCTGGCAAGTGAAAGTCTGTGAAGGCTGGGAGGCCTGGGTTCCACACACACCTGGCTGTGTGACCTTGGGCAAGTCAGTCTCCCTCTCTGGGTCTCTGTGCCCATGAGGCTTCTGCAAGGACAGTCAGCCCCAGTGGTGGTTGAGGCTGAAGAGGAGGCTGGAGCCGAGAGAGGGCGCCCCGGCCACAGTATGACGCCTTCCTGGGACCCAGCTACCCCTACACCCTGTTTGTGTCCATGACAACCAAACAGCATCACACCCACACCCCATCACACAGCCCCTGGGCTGCACCCTCGCCTGAAAGGGGCCCAACTAAATTTCCTTTGGGGAGAGCAGCACCTAATCTTGGTGCCCAATCTTTTTCCACCTCTCCTAGGCCCGGAGACCAAAATCAGGTTCGCCCACCCCCACTTTTCAGGAACATTCCAGACACCTCGGCCTGGCCAGCTTCCATCTTGCCCGGAAAAAAAAGCAGCAGCTGTAGCTCTGGGCAAGGCCTGGACAGCCAGGGACCTCAGCGTGCATCTTGCCCTCTCCAGCCTCCGGCCTCCTGCCTGAACGGAAGGCCCTCGAAGGCATGGGCTTTGCAGGTGACTGCAAATGGCAGCCAGTCATAAAACAGCATTAAGTGAGACGACAGAGGCCAGGTGCCCAGGCCAGAGCCTGGCCCAGAGAGGCCCTCATAAAAGAGTGAGCTTTTTATTCTTTCTCTAAATGTCCTTTCTTTGCATATTTTGGTATTGGATTTTACTTTTTAAGGCTGCTTGTGTGGCTTGGGAGATGGATTCTGGTATCAGATAGAATCATGGCCAGGGCCCGCATCTGCAGTGTTAACATAGCAAGACTGGGCCTTGCCTAATTTGTCCTGCTGGTGCCCCTGCATTCAGGAAGTGCTCAATAATTGCTGAATGAATGTACTAGCCTGACCAACCCAGTGCCCCAGGATCTTCCTCTTGAGCTGGGGGCTGGGTGTCTTCCAGGGCCTGGATGGAGCCCTGGAGGTCAGTCCCAGGACAGTGAGTGGCCCTGCCCTAAAACCAGCGCCCCCCCACCCCCGACCAGGAGCAGCAGGGGCCACCTGAGTCCCTCCCGTTGGAGGAGGGCCTGGCCTTGCTTCCAGCACTTACCATGCTCAGCTCCCTGTTGTGGTAACATTGCTGGCAGGGGTGGAAATGAGTCCCTTTCCTGAGAAGCTCCCACGGAATGCCTTAGATATGGGCCTAAGTGCCAGGGCAGGGCAGGGCTGCCAGGCAGGACAGCTGAGGTACTGACCCCCCCCCCCCGACTCCCCCTTAGCCCAGGCCAGCTGGCGGGAGCCGTCCTCCTACCTGACCAGCCACTTAACAGGTAGGGATCTGCCTCGGTCCCCACGGAAACCCAGCGCCCAACACGAATTCTAGCCCCTGGCACACTTTTTTTTGAAGGAATGTCATCTTGCCATGACCAGCCCCAATGCCACCACTCTCAATGCCTTTCTTGATTGGCCCAGGCATAAGTGCTTTCTATTTCTCTGACTTCTGAAGCATTATTTGTGCTTCAAGGGAAAATAACAATTGCAGCGGTGACTTTCCTACCCCCTAAGCCGGCAGAAAGACCTACGGCTGTGAGGAGACCTGAGCCTGAATTCTGACTCAGCCTGGCTGTGTGACCTTAGACGAGTCACGCCACCTCTCTGAGCCATGGGTGGCCCCAGGACTCAAATGAGAGGCAAGTGCTGGGTCAGTAAAAATGGGGTCAAGTATAAGATGTTGCTTTTTCCTTTGTGATCTCGGTCACTGGTGCGCTTATACTCTCTCCCACTAGACCGTGGTCTATTTCAACCCTCAAGATCCGGCCTATGCGTTGCCTCCTCTGAGAAGACTTCCTGGATCCTCGGGAGGAGGGGGCATCGGGGAGGCAGCCACTTCATCACCTGGATCTTTACTCATTTATTTCAGGTGACACCTGCGAATGCACTTCTCTCTAAGTTGACGTTTCTCTTCTGGGCTGAAGGCTCTTGGAGGGAAGAGCCTGTGTGGTTTGGGCCTGGGGCAGATTTTGCTCCTGGTAATTCTTTGTCCGAATCCTTTCCTTTCTCCCCCAGCGTGTCTGACCCGTGCTTAAGACCCAGGGGAGGGAGCTCGGTAAACAGTGGCTCAGCTGCCTGAAAGATTCACCTCCGCCTACCTAAGGTTGGGACTGAGAGCCCTGCGCGGCCACGCCTACCTCCCCCTCCCGCTCCACTCCTTCCGAAGACACCTGCCACCTCCCCGCCCCGCCCTCTGCCAGCAAGGCCTCTGGTTCTGCTATGGTCACACTCCCAGGAACGGCATCTTCTGCTTTCGCTTTCCCAGCACCTTTCAGGTCCTGAGGGCTTTCTCACCACGTGCAGACTGGGCAGGAGGTCTTCAACCCATTTTATAGAACAGCAAACTGAAGCAGGACCAGAGAGGGTGAGGTGCGATGGAGGCCACACTGAGTTAGTAGAGAGAGCTGGGTCTGGACACAGGGCTCCCACTCCAGGTCTGAGCTCCTCGCTGGGTGGGGGAGGTGCCCTCCCCGCCTCCCCTCCTGCTGCTCCTCTGCCCCCTGACCTGCCTGCTGCCATCCTTCTCTCACCCCGGACACGCCCGGCTCAGAGCAGCTGCCTTCTCATACCACCAGAATCGTATTTTTACAAGTGCTGGCTCCCTGGTGGCCCAGTCTTCCTGCCCCAGGCTGGCTGGGAGGAGGCTAAGAATAACTCGCCTTGAGCCTCCCAGCAGCTGCTGCTCCCTGGGGGGTGGGCAGAGCTCAGGGTCTGCGGGGCTGAGCTTTTCTAAGGCAGCAAGGACTTCTGGGGCAGGAAGTGTGCTCCTTGGGGGGAGGGTCTGGGCTGTAAAGAACTGACATTCGAGGCTCGGGGCAGGGTGAGGACCCCTTCCCTCCTGCCCCCACAGCTTACCAGGTGACCTGGGGGGGAGGTGAGGCCTTGACGGTACAGGTCAGCAGGACTGTGGCATGCTCCCAGACGGCGTGGGAACGCAGAGGGATCCAGAACCAGGGCCCCCGGCCGGAACACAACTCCCTCAGCTCCCTGGCCTCCCGGACCTTCTCCTCTGTCTGGAGGCGGGAGGGGACCTGTGACTCCTGTGAGCCAGGAGATCACATCTCCCCCGTCTTTGCTGTCACCTTTCCCCCGACACTCAAGCTCTGGAGTCACACCCACATGGGCTGGAGCCCCCCATCACAGGCACAGAGGGCAGGGGCTTCGGAACAGCTAGCCTGCGGTCAAGGCCAGATTCTGCCACTTCCTACTGTGAGACCATAGGCAAGTAAGTCCTCAGTTTCCTCATCTGTAAAGTGGGGATGATAATAACATTCCCCCACATCTCTGTGGGGTTGTAGAGAGGATTAAATGGTTAATATGTGAAAGAACATGGGCACCGAGAAAGCCCACGTACGAGCTATTGCTTCCGTCCCCGGGGGAGGGGGCACGGAGAGTGGCTTCAGATCCCTGGTGTTTGTCAGGAAGAGTGTTTCCTGAGGGTCTCCTGTGTTCTCAGCGCTGGGAAGGTCACTGTACAAGCCTAGTCTTGTTCAGTTCCCACCCCATCCCCAAGAGCTAAGACACCACATACATCTATTTTACAGATGAGAAAACCGAGGCTCAGTAAGGGTAAGTGGCTTGCCCAGGGTCACACAGCTGGAGGGCCGGGACGCCGGGATTCAAACTGGGTCCAAGTCTAGGGCCTGGACTCTTTCCTGAATGTCCAGCTGCCTCTCGAGAAGGGGGTGGTGAGGCGGGCGGCCTGAGATGGGTTGCAGGTCCGGGACCCCTCACCCGCCGTCTCAGCGCCTTCCGGTCGCGTCTCTGGCGCAGTAGCCACTGGGTCCGAAGGAAGGCGATCTCCGTCCTCTCCCAGTCATTGCCGAAGCCCACCCGCTTCTGCCCTCGCTTCTCCAGCTCCACCGCGGAGGTCTGGCGCCTCAGCTGAGCCTCCCTGTGTGGCAGAGGCCGTCGGGGGCCGAGGGCCCGGGGTTGGTGGGGGCACCCCAGCCGGGGCCGCCCGTCTTCCCCCATGCCCGGCACCCCCAGCTGCTCCTTAAGCTTCTTGAGGACAAGAGCAGCTTTTGACCCTTTTGCCCCCAAAATACCTGAATGGGCCCTGCTTACAGTTGGTGCATAATAAGTACTATGGATATAGTTCACAAGGCACTTTCACAAATATTTGTTCCTTTTGTCTTCACGACGAACAGGTGGACAGGCATAGACCCCCTTGTACAGAGCAGGGACCCGAGACCTGGTGACTTGCCTCAGGCTGGCCAGGACCAGGACCCAGGCCTTGTAGCCCAGGACAGCCTCCTGCTGCTCTCAGGTGAAGCCCTGTGGTGAAGTGGGGACCCCCACCCTCTCCACTGGGGGTGGCCCCTCACGACTGCTTGTGGACCCATCCAGAGTGTGGTCTGGGCTCTTGTGCTAGATGTGGGACTTTGGGCAGATTCTTTAAGTCCAGTGAGGGAGCCTCATGGAGGCAGGGGACTGGACAGGATGGCCCATTCTCAGCCCAGTGTTCTCGGAAAAGGCCGCCTGACTTACCAAGATGTCTCTTTGGAGGCTGTCAGAGCCAGGGCTGCTGCGAGGGCGTAGTCTGCGGCGCTGAACTGATACTCTTCCTCGCTGTCGTGGGAAAAGGGAGTTCATGGCTCCTGCAGAATTGCCTGCGGGTCTGGCTGGGGCATCCCTGAGATTAGGGCTGCATCTACCTACCCCAGTCTCAGGACGCTAGCAGGCATGGCTGTGCCTCCCCACAGACTGATCTCCACAAAGCAGGGCTGTGCCTCCCCCCTCAGACTGGAATCTCCACAAAGCAGGGCTGTGCCTCCCCCCTCAGACTGGCTTATCCAGAAAGCAGGACTGTGCCTCCCAACTCAGGCCAGATACTCCAGAACGAAGGATCTCCAGAGGACAGTGTTAATACTCCTTACCTCAGACTGTGCCTCCCCCCTCAGACTGGGGACCCCTAGGGGTAGGGCGGTGGCCGGGGCGGGGTCCCTGATGGTCCCACCTGGTGCGGAAGGTCCGCCTCCGCACTGAGGAGCCCATGTGCAGGCTGTGCTGCCGTTCCTCCTTGTGCTCCTCCTCCTGGCGGTGTTCCAGCCGGTGGACCTCCACGGCCTGGGGGGGCCGGGGCTCCCCCACATTTCCGGGGCTGTGGGGCAGAGTCATGGCTTCGAGAGCAACAACCTGCCAAGCCAAGGTGCGTGGTCACACCACCAGGCATCTGCGCCTCCCTTCCCCATGGGGTCCTCCCAGCAACCCTGGGAGGCTTGTGGGGTGGGGGTTCTCTCTCCAGCGGGCAGAGCGGGGTGTGGAGGCGGGGGCGGGGCAGGGGCCTGGCCAATGGGGCAGAGGCAGCCTTTGCGCCCTGAGCCTCAGCTGGGCGAGTACAGCCCCACGTCGGGAGCAGCCCCTGGCTTTGGGCCTTAGTCTCGCCCGTGACCTGGGCAAAGCCCTCCCTTCTCTGGGCCTCAGCTTCTCAGTCGATGAGCAATTCAAGACCGTGATGTCCAAGGGCTGCTCTGTGACTCAAGATGGGCCGATGTCCTCACTCTTCCTGCATGTGTCCACTCGGCCCCACTTCGCCCGCACTGGTTTCCTCTCTCGGAGAAACCCCTCCCTCCCCCTGGCCTGCTTGGCCCCACTCAGGCTCTGCAGCCTAAGTGGAGAATGCTGCGGTTAGCACAACAGTGGTGCTGGGAGACTGGCCATCCCGCTTCTCCTTCCAGCCTCCACGTGTGTGCCCTTGGGCCAGACTCTGTGACCTGGTGTTCTCATCTGTAAAATGGGTCGACTGGTCTCCTGGGGGTGGTTCTCAAGGTTGGATGGGTGCCTGGAGCATAGTAATTCCCGTGTAAGTGCTAGACATCAGCATTATTTTTCTAAGAATCCCTGCTGAAAAACTATAGGCCACCTAGAATTTTCCCTACTTGAATCCCTTTTATACCTTTCTATCTCCACTCTGGTTTAGCTCTGATTCAAAAATGCCTCTGCCTTCTATTTAATTACTTCCTATTTGTACATCTTGACTCTTCAACAAGATTGTAAGTGCATTACAAGTAACAACAGTGAGGAGCATCTGGGTGGCTCGGTGGGTTAAGCGTCCAACTCTTGATCTCGGCTCAGGTCATGATTTCTTGGTTTGTGAGATCTAGCCCCGCTTCAGGCTCTGTGCTGACAGTGCAGAGCCTGCTTGGGATTCTTTCTCTCTCCCTCTCTCTCTGCCCCTCTTCTGCTTGCTCATGTGCTCCCTCCCTCTCTCTCAAAATAAATAAATAAACATAAAAAAAAAAAAAAAGAAACAGGGGCGCCTGGGTGGCTTAGTCGGTTAAGCGTCCGACTTTCGCTTAGGTCATGATCTCACAGTTCGTGGGTTCGAGCCCCGTGTTGGGCTCTGTGCTGACTGCCAGCTCAGAGCCTGGAGCCTGTTTCAGTCTGTGACTCCCTCTGTCTCTGACCCTCCCCTGCTCACGCTGTCTCTCTCTCAATCTCTCTCCTAGAAATAAATTAAAAAAACATTTAAAAAAAAAAAAGGAACAACGATGAGTGTTTACTGTGTGTCAGTCCCACTGTCACCCCATTGTACAGATGAGGAGGGAAAGTGCTTGCCCAAGGTCACCCAGCTTGTTGGTGGTGGGGCCATGACTGGCACCCAACTCGGAGCTCTCTTGATCTCTATGTCACAAGTCCACGCAAGGCCAGGCCTTGGCTGTGGCGGGGGACTCAGTGGGCCACACAGCCTTTCTTCTTGTAAGGGGATCATGACTGAGGGATCCCCCTTTGCATTCTCGAGGCTCGGGTCTGGGCCACGGGTGGTGGCCGGGGGGGTTGGATCATATGGGTGTGGTGGAGCCGCAGGGATGAGGGAGGGAATCTGTGGACAGGGAGAAGCAGGCTGGGAGAGCAGGAGGCCCACGGGCTAGCTGGCTTTGGGTTCTCACACAAGTTCTCTCCCAGATCTGGGCCTCTGGATCTCTGAGGGTCCCTCTGATGCTGAAGCTCTGGGATGCTTGGCGGAATCCCCCAGTGCCTTCCACACCTCCTCCAGGTGCGAGTTCTGGCGAGCAGGCCACTGACCCAGGACGGTCCTTGCCGGGCTAAGCCTGAGGTCACCCCTGGCTCCAGTCTCCCCGGGGGTCCTCCTGGCCGTGGCGGAATGTGTGTGTCTATCCTGACCTGGCTGTGAACATGGCGCCCGGGGGACCACTTCTGTAAGCCTGTCACATGGGAGAGGGGCCTGCTGGCCTCATCAGAGCCCCATGGCCTGATGGGCTGGTTATGGGGCATCAGGGGGCTCAGGCTGGTGAGGGACCAGCTTAGCGGACATTTACTCCCTCTAGTCCCTGAAAGCTTGCTCCCTTTCAGTGTCTGGATCACTGCAGGACCAAGGGCCACACGGAAACTTCCTTGGCCTTCTGCAGATGACCCTGGCAGAACATAACACAGGACTGTCACTCCTTGAGTTTCCCATCTGGCCCCTCCTGGGGAATAGGGTCTTCCTGCAGCCAGAGGATGACTGGGCCTGCTCATTCTGCCGCTCTGTCCTCACAGCCCCAGAGGAGAGCTCTGGGCACCGCCCGAGGCGGGGAGGCCCTTCCCCCTCCCCCCCTCCAGCTTTTCTGGGACACCGTGGCCCTGGCCTTGGCAGCTGAGGAACGTTCCCTGGCGTCAGCTGCTGGCTCTCTTCCTCGGATGCTCTGTTCCTGATTAGCACCGTGGAGGGGTGTGTGTGTGTGCGCGCGTGTGTGTGGCTGACACTCATCCCTGACCTCCGGGGCCTCCCGCAACCAGACCCCCGGCTCTAGTGGATGAGCCATTGCTTCTTTTTAAAGCGCTGACTGAGGCTGGGGATTAAGTAGCAATGGCAGTGCAGTGCCACACGGGCCTGGTGGGGAGGGGTCAGCGGGGTGCAGGCCAGCGGGGGAAGCCGCTCCCCTGCCCTCTCCCGGGGGTGCTAGGCCTGGGCTCCCGGTCTCGCAGCGTGGCCGCCCCTTGTCTCCCAAGCCCCCAGTCTGTTTTCCCACCAGCGCGTCTGACAGCCACCCCCAGAGACAAGGGGCAGCAAGGCCTCTCGCCTTTCCTCGGGAGGGAAAGGGAAGGGCGCAGAGGCTGAGTGACGCACAGAAGCTGATGGCAGAAAGCTGGGTCCTCTGGGCCGACTGTGGTCCGCCAGCTCCCGACTCCGGAACTCTGACCCTGCCACTGAGTGGCTGGGGCCACCCCTTCCCAGTCTGGGCCTCGGTTTCCTGCCAGTGAGCGCAGGCTTGACGAGTGCCCTCCTGGCCCTGAAATTCGGGCTGTGAGGGCTTCCCCCCTTTCCCGGTCTGCCTGGTGGGCCAAGCAGGCCTCGGCCAGTGCTGCTCCGGCTCCGTGGGGCCTGCCAGCTCACGGGGCCCCTTCTGCTTGTCCGGCATCCCTGACGGTCTCCTTTACAGCTTCCACATCACCCAGGGCTCAGCCCAGAGGACCGAGGGCCCCGCAGGTGGTGAGAGGGGGCAGGGGTCTGCGGAATCCTCTCCCATTTTTACTCAGAGTGCTGCCTCAGTACGTGTGTCTTTTCTCTTTCGAAATCCCCCAGGGTCCTTTCCCAACACACACACACACACACACACACACACACACACACACACACACACTCTCACCCACGCCCCACTTGCTAATGGAAAGCTGAGGGTCTCACTTTCTAAAGGCTTCCCTCCCCACCTCTGATCCCTGGAGGTGACTCACAGAAGCAGCTGTGCCCACCTAGGCGTCTCTGAAGGGAAGATTCCAGAGGGGGAGATGACCCTTGTTTCCTTCTTGCCCTGGGCTCAGCGGGGACTGGAAGAAGAATGTGATCCTGGAGCCTGCATGGGCCTTAAATATAGCAGCGCTGAGACAGTTGATGACAATGGATGGGAGCTATGGGGGGGGGGGCACAGGGAGGAGGGGCTGCCCCATCAGGCCAGCACTGCTCAGGCGGCAGCAACAGGTGGAGCTGTCCCCACCCCCACCCCAGCCTCCGCACACCGCTCCTGCCCTCTGCGCCATCCCTTCTGCCCAGCTTTACCCCCCGCCCCTCTCAGGGAGGTAGAAAGAAGGTAACGGCTCAGGCCTGGTTGTAGGGAAAGCTGGTTGTTGGGGGCTAAGGGGTGGTTCTCCCAGCTGCTGGGGCTCCGAATGGTGCCTTGGGGGAAGACAGCCAGCTTCTCCGATCTGATACCCCTGTGAAAAGCGGATACAGTGAGGCTGGTCACCAGTCACCAGTCCCGAAGACAGAGGAAGGAATGTGACCTGAGCTAGTGTTCAGAGCTTGTACGTCATCACTGGCCGGAATGGAAGGAGGTGGCTTCTCACGCCCGTGGCTACTGACTGGGCCAGCCCTGCCCGGCCCTCCCGGCCACGGTCAGTGGGGATGGGCATGGCCCCGGAGGGAGAGGAGGGGGAAGCTACCTCTTCCCTGCAGCGTCCACATGTCCCCGGCTTCCGTTCCCTACAGGACCCATCTTCCCAGGCTTTGGCACACCCTCAGTTACCTCAGTTCTTTCCCCCACATTCATTCACACCCGCCCTTCAGACAGAAGGAGAAAACCCCGTGATGTGAAGGAATGTGAAGAAAATTTAACCTAGGTCAGGAGAAAGGCGGTTACAGCAGGGGTGAATCAGGAAGGTGCACCTGAGTCACGTCTCAGGGGTTAGGCAGGTTTGAGGAAGGGGGGGCAGCTCCGGTCCAGAGAGCACAGTCCCCCCCCACTCCCCAGCCTCCTCCTGGGGCCTCGGGGTGGGGTGGGGGGACCAGCCACACTGCGCCTGTCACTTCCTGGTCTCAGGGACGATGCATGTGAAAGGGAGAGAGAGAATGCAGGTGAGCTCTCTGCCTATAATCTTAATCTCCTGTCCTATTTGGAAACCCCTTTCTAAGTGTCCCTGCTTACCCCCGTCCTGCTGGCTGCACGGAGAACATTTGGCGGCTCTCTTCCATCTTGGACTGAGCCAACCTCCGAAGGGCTTCCCAGGACCCACATTTATACGTTCTCCGTGAGGTGTGAGTATGAATCGTACATACAGCAGGGGGTGTGTGGGCTTCCAGGACAGCAGGAGACAGACATTTAAACTGCTGAGAGACCAAGAAGGTTCCGGTAGGGAAGCTGAAGCCTGCAGCACAGTGTCAGGTGCCCACCGAGGCCAGTGACACTGGGGGTCCGCTGATGACTCCACTGCAGTAGGAACGTGGGAGCTCAGCCGCCTTCTGCGTGTGGGATTCCTGTTCACCCCAGTGATGCCCTCACTCCTCGCAGGGACATCCCCTCAGGGAGGGCCACATGTGCCTGAAAGAGCACACAGCCCACCCTACGGGTCACAAGGCTGAGCAGAGGTGAGGCTTGGAATTACATAAACCTTGGTTTGCTTGTTTATTATTTTTAAAAAATGTTTATTTTTGATACAGACAGAGTACAAGTGAGGGATGGGCAGAGAGAGATGGAGACAGAATCTGAAGCAGGCTCCAGGCTCTGAGCTGTCACCACAGAGCCTGACACAGGGCTCGAAATCTCAAGCTGTGAGATCATGACCTGAGCCGAAGTTGGACGCTTAACCGACTGAGCCACCCAAGGCACCCCTTAACCTTGGTTTAAATCCTGATCTCTAGCACCTGCACTCATTAATGGAGGGACCCAGGCCTCTCTTTGGGCTTAGCTGCTTTATTAGTAAGTTGGAGGTAAGTTCCAGAACAACTGGAAACTTGCGTGCCAGTCTTGTTGCCAGTCTTGTTCACTGTGTCCCTAGCCCCGAGGGCAGTGCCCGGCATACAACTAGCCCCTTGGTATGTGCTTGTTGAAAGATGGATGGATGGATGGATGGATGAATACCTATCCTGCAGAATGACTGTAAGATTCAAATGCATAAAATGCATAAATTGCCTGATAAAGTACCTGGCTCACAGCCAGGGCCTCTCCATATTTCCTTCTCTCTTTTTCTTCTCATCTTCCCCCTTTTATCGCCTTCCCTGGATGTATGAACATTAAGGACAGTTGTTTAGATTCGCCCAGGAGCCGCCCTGAACTTCCATGCCACTTTTTCAGACCACAGCCAAACTGTTTTTGGCGGATACCTTCACCTGGTGGTCAAGGGGGGGCGCTGTCTGGCCCCATGCTTCCTCCCACCACCTTCTTTCTGCCTGTCTCCCGTCCATCCCTCTGTCGCTCTCCTCCCCTCCCCTTCAGTTAATTCCAGATACTGCTCTTGTCACACTTATGGTCTAAGCGTATCTTCCTTATGCCGCTTCCTCCTTAGAGTGGGAAAGGAAAATGGGCTCAAGCAGCCCAGGGGCTGAGCAGGGGGCTAGGGCCTCAGGGCTGTGACCCACCAGCAACACCAGGTAAGCCCATTCTTGCCTCAGTCCCACTTTCTGGAATGTAGGGTGGGGACTGCAACAAGGGGACAAGTTTTGGCCATGTGGTCATAGCCTCCTTGTTTAGGCTGATACTCAGGCCTGGGAGGGGCACACAGAGATCCAGCCTCAGGGACCCCAGCGGGGTCCAGTCCCACGGGCCCTATTCTCTGGGTGGAGACTCGGGCAACCCCCGTATGTTCCTGGGGCCGGGGGCTCGAGAGGCCAGAGGTCTGTGGACTTCCCAGGTTGAAGTGCTACTCGAGTAGCCTGGACCCCCACCCCCACCCAGGGGATATACTAAAGGTGACTCCGGGTAGGTGATTCGAGGCCATGGACGGGGAAACTGTTGGGGTGAGATGGACAGAGAAACTGTTGGGGTGAGGGCACTATTCCCTCCATGCGCCCAAGAGGAATCACCAAAGGTGTTTATTAGAAATACAGATTCACCAGGAGCGGTGGATTTAGCAGGGCTGTGTGGGTGGGAGCCTGGGGAAGCTATGTTTCTAGTAAGTTCCCAGGGGATTCTCATGACGAGGCAAGTTTAGAAAACCAACTTGGGCAAGTAACTTCTCTGAGCCACATTTTCCTCCCTTGCAAGATATCAATCATAGGACCTATGGCTGGAGGTCGGGGAGGACGGGGGTCTGGTAAGTAAACCGCCGAGCAACATGGTGGAGTCTCTCCTCTCCTTCTTACGGCTGCTGGTGCTGCTACAGCGGCCACACGGTCCGTTCACTCCTGGGCCGGGCTCTGCCACGAACACTCATTTCGCTGCGCCAGGCGGGGCCAGGCTACAGCGATTCCTGATAACGGGGTCAGGGTCTAGGACACGCGGGGATGCCAGTGCCTCAGCCCAGCTCCAGGGGGCCTTAGACACTCTGTCTTCCAGCTGCTTCCAGCCCTATCTGCAGGCCTGGGCTGCCTACTTGGGAGACCAGAGACCTGGTGCCTGTCCCTCAGTGGGGACAGTGCAGCCTAACGAGGGTCACAGGGCTCAGGGCCATTCATCTCTCTCCTCAGGCACTCAGACTCCACCCTCCGAGAGTCGTGGAGTAGCTGGGGCATCTGTCTGTCACTCTGAGTTGCACGGCCCTATGAGTCGGAAATGATGTTTACAGCCTAAAAAGAAAAATCTCTGTGACTCCTCATCCCCCTTACCCGGTGAGAACAGTCTGCCTGTTAAGCTGTTTCTCATTACTCAACAAGGTGAGGATACACAACCTTGGGCCAAGTTCGCCTCAAGGGACAGGAAGCAGACTCGTTGGTAGTGGGGGGGGGGAGGGGCACAATCCTCGGGGCCTCCTTAGCAGCTGCTGGGCTGCCGAGAGAGCAGGCTGGGGTGCTCAGGAGGGCAGCCCACCCCTGTGTTATGGAGCTACTGGGTCTAGACCAGTGACCCTGAAGAGATGTTAAACATTAATTACAGATAAGGGCACCACCGCCTGGTGCTGTGTGGTAGGGACTGGGGTGAGGAAGATGAGGGGAGATGAAGAGAGCACACTGTATCTTCGGGAAGGCCATGCCCAGGCAACCCGACTCTGATCCTGTTTCTCAGAAATATTCGGAATGGGCTTTGGGACAGGAAGGTGATGAAAGGTCCTGGCCCCTTAAGGACCCCATTGGGGCCCCCTTTCCTTAATCCACATTAGTCTCATCTCTGAGAATCCAGAACAGTGTGGAAAGTTCCTTCTCGTGATGAGGACAGAAAGGGCTAGGTTTGGGGCACCTGGGTGGCTCAGTCGGTTAAGCGTCTGACTTCGGCTCAGGTCATGATCTCACGGTTCATGGGTTTGAGCCCTGCGTCGGGCTCTGTGCTGACAGCTAGCCCAGAGCCTGGAGCCTGCTTCGGCTTCTGTATCTCCCTCTTTCTGTGACCACCCTCCCCTGCTCACACTATCTCTCTGTCTCTCAGAAATAAATAAAACATTTAAAAAAAAAAAAAAAAGAAAGAAAGCGCTAGGTTTGAGCTCCAGCTACGTCACGGCTTCCACGGGGGTGTCCCTTGCTGAGTCCCTTCTCCTCTCCGGGCCTCAGTTATCTTATCTTATCGTATGGTTCATCCGAGAGGCAAATGGTACAAAGGGCAGGCCAGCACCCCACAGCATGAGCACGGAGCCCTTTCCTTATGTAGGAGGAGCCCCGAGCGGGGGCAGAAGGGCAAGAAAGCCCTGCACCGCCTCTGGTGAGCTGTCGGGGAGGAGGTCCCCTGGGAACGGCACCCCACCCGCAAGCAGCTTCCTCCTACAACCTCAGGGAGAAGCTTCCATCTGTCTTCAAACCCCGTTTCCCTCCGCCTCCCCCAGATAGCCCAGCCCCTCTGGCCTGGCCCAAGGCGATCCTGAGAAAATCAGGGTGATTTGAGCCCATGAGAAAATGCCCAGGCTGAAGCCATCCTGACCTGGGGGAGTGGGTCACTCACTGTGCTGCCTGATTATAAAACATCGCAACAGGACATTTCCTGGGCACTGCGCATGTGCCAGGCACAATTAAGTACTTTAGAGACATTTCATTAATTAATTTCATCCTCACCACACCCCCGTGAAGTAGGTGTTATTATCTCCACTTTACAGATGAAGAAACTGAGGTTTTGAGGAGTGATTCATTTGCTTGAAGTCATACAGCCGGTAAGTGGTAAGGCTGGAACTTGCACCCAGATGAGCTAAGTTTCCAAAGTTGTGAAGTAAGTGCACTTTGTTGTTGTGTCTGTTTCAAGGGCCACATGACCCGGTGCTCGTTATAAACCCTGCTCTCAAAACAGGGTCAGAAACGTTTGCAGGCAGGAAAGGCTCCGTGTGTCCTCCCTCCCTGGGGGACCTGCGTTCCATGGAGGGGGGGAGCCCCCAGCAGGGGAACGAAGTGGAGCCGGTGTGATCTCAGGCGGTAGCCGGGCTGGGAATGAGCCCTGGGCCGCACCCCTGCCTCGTGCAGCCTCTGGCCTTGGCAAAGCTCAGCAGTCCTGACTCTGCCCAGCCTGCTATGAGGGTCCCTCCTGGGCTGTTTCTTGGGAGAGGGTAACGACAGAGGAAGTAGAGACCTCACTGTCGCACTAGTTTACGGATCTGGCCAGGAATGGGCTGGAGAACTTCCTGTCCAGCATCTTAGGAGCCGGGGCGCTGGATCTCCGTGAAGCCTCCCTGCATTAACTCCCACACCCCTTTGGCCCCATGGAGCTCCGCTTGCACGCGCTCGTTTGCACACGATGCACACGCGGAACCTCTGGGCTGCAGTCCTTATCATGCCATTTTGCTCCAACCGTAGCTCACCCACGGCAGGGGCCCGTGCCCCTCTTTCCTTTGGCCCTTTCATGGGCACTCACCTGAGGCCCGGCTGCCCAGCGTGCGGCCCGGTTGGGTGTGGGAGTGCTGGCCGGTGGTGTGAGGTTGGGTGGGGACAGAGGAAGGCCCAGGCCCGCCCTGTTCTCGGCTCAGGCCTCCCACTGCACGGTCAGGCCCAGGCCCCTGAAGAGAGAGTCCAGTTCTGGGCGCTGCGTCAGGTCTGATGCCTGAGGGGCTGGGCCCTGGGCCTCAGTCTCAGATACAGGGTCCTCATCCTTGGGACACACGAGGGACTCCAGCAGGCCCCAGGGACTTGGTTCCTGGTCTGTGGGGGAACATGGGAGGGAAGGAGAGTTCAAACAGAAGGATACAGGGTGGCCCTCAATCTGGACAGAGGAGAGGAGGGGGAGTTGGCCCTTCAGGTACGATGATGTCCCTGGTTTCCCTCTGTGTAGCACACAGGGGTCAGGTACTCTGTCCGGGTGAACCCCCAAATGCTGGTGGAAGGAGTTTGCTTCTTGGGGGTCCTTCATATCCAAGAAGGTCACCCTTTGCAGAGAAAGGCCTTCTGGGATATACCTCTTGGTATATCTTTCTGGTGCCTCTTTCTGGAGCTGACCTTTAGGCCTGAGGTGTTTGGGGCTAGAGAGTGTCACAGGTGGGGAGTCTTTACCAGAACCTTCTACACACATCCCATAGGAAGAAGGCCAGCTGTCTGGAGTGGTCTGAGGAGTGTAGGAGGGAGGCTGGACCTCAGAGACGGCCTGGGCCATGTACGATGGAGGTTTAGCTTCGGGGGTCACTTGAGGTGCGTAGGATGGGAGCCCAACTTCTGGGGCGGCCTGAGGCGCAAAGGACAGTGAGGAGAGCATCTGGTGAGGCAGCACTCCAGGGGGCCGGAGGATGGAGGGGTCTGGCTGCCCGAGGTAGGTGATCTCAGACAGGCTGTGAGGCGGTGGGTCTCCTGGGGGTTCCCTGGGCCCGGAGACCTTGACTTGAGAGTACTGGACGGGCTGGGCCAGGCTGCTGGGGCCGCTCAGGTCAAAGACTGGGACGAACACGTGCTCCTGGATGAACCGCAGAGGCTGGAAGGTCAGGACTCGCTGGACGTTCTGGGCGGGAACAGCAACGGTCAGCCCTTCAGGACACGTTCTAAGCTCCCTGCTGGTGCCGCGGAGGGTCAGGGTCCTCCAAGGGGAGGCACAGTGGATGGGGTAGACCACCTGGGGGACTCGCACACCCCCTTGGCTTTCCAGAGATTCCTCTAAATGCTGGGCCTCTGTGAAGGGACAGGGCTCCCAGTTGAGGCTTGAGTTGGGGGCCACTTCTAAAGTCTAGGCTATCTTAAGGAGAGACAGAGGCTGTGGCTTCTTGAGAAGATAGATAATCCAGGAAGTAGGTGACTCAGATTGGAGGTTACCGAGGGGTACACTCTCGAGGTGGTGGCCCACACTGCTCCTCACTCATGGGTCCCCATGGGCGTGATACAGGGGGCTGGGTGGGAAAGGATGGAGGAGAGGGGGAGGCAGGAGAGCTTTATAGGAAATGGCTCATCTGGGCTTTGACATTGAGCGAAATGCCCTCAAGCTCCTCTGTCCCTCACATAAACGAGAGCCAGCTCCTAGATCCCCAGGCCCATCAGGTCCTGGGCAGCAGGCCCTGGTGCTTTAGCAGAGAGCCAGCACTGGCCGCCATATTGGGGCTGCTGGTGTGGGTTGGGTGGTTTACTTAGGGCTTAGAAGCCCTGACTACACTGGCCCGCATTCCTCGGCGGCCCATTTTGACCGGCCATGAGTGCCAGGGCTTCCCACAGTGCCCAGCCCTGTCTGCCCTTTGGAGATGCCTACTCTCCTAGGTTGCCTGCCTGGACGTGGACGCTTTCAAGTCATGTGGGTTTTCTCTTCCAAGCCCACTGTTCCCAGCTGCCTGCCCTTCTCCAATATACCTTGCTGGGCCACGTCTTTGTTGATTTTAGGTTGGAGAAGAGAAAGGAGGTCTAATTTTCTGCACTACATGCTTCTCCCTGCCGTTCAGGGAGAGCCAGGGGTCCCCGGGGCCCATGTGCCCTGCTCCCTCTTGCCCCAGGCGCAACTGCTCACCAGGGAGTTGGGAGGCCGAGGCGGCTTGGTGACATATCTGTAGCTCATGTAGCAGAGCCCTGCGACGAGGAAGCCCATGGAGAACAGGAAGGCGCCTGAGAAGGAGTACGTCCACGTCCGATCTGGGGGAGCAAAGGGGCCAGGGCAGGAAGACTGAGTCTGGGATCTGGTCCGGGCCCGATCCCGCATGGACGCCGCAGGCCTGTGCTTTCCCCGCCCCGCCCTCCTCAGCAAGGCTCGGGAAGGTCTCTCCTGCCCCCAACACGTGCAGGTGGGGTCAAGAGCACAAGGAGAGGGCCACATACTAGATGTCTAAATATCCAGAATTTATAAATCATTCTTACACTAAGTACAATATGTTATATGGTACATATTGTACCATATATATATTTTATATATATATTTTATATATTTTATATATATAAATATATATTTTATAACCGACCTGGCTCAGTGCAGGGCCTGATTGGGACCCTCTCTCTCTCTCTCTCTCTCTCAAATAAAAATAAATGAAAAAATACATAACAACCTGGAAGGCTAGATTTGAATTTTGGATTCCTGGATTCCTTGGAGTCCCTGTGCTGAAATGTGGGGGTGCAGGGAGAGCCTGCCACAGGCCCCTGCCCCCCCCCCCCCACCCCACCCCTCTCTGGTAGGGGCCTTGTGCACCTGGATGTGGGCTGCCGAGCCCACACAGCCAAGCTCATCCACATGCCCCCTGCCTCCAAACAAATAGCCACCTGTTGGCCACACTTCGGGCTGAGGCTCTGCACATCAACAGTGACTCCTCTTGGGAGGAAGGATGCAAGGAACAGATCTGCTAGACTGGACACAGGCGCGGGGCATTTGTACAGGGCATTTTGGGGTCCCAGGTACTCAGAGTGCGGTCTAGAAGGGAGGTCACAGGCTCCGGGGGCCCTGTGCATTTGGACCTAAGGACTCTTCATCTTGTGGGGAGGGTCAAGGCCAGAGTATGGACGGAGCAGAGCCTTCTAAAGAGACCTCTCTTGCCTGGGTCTGAGGACAGCCCTGCCTCCCTAGCAGGAGGCTGGGGGCAGAGACAGAGGGGGTGTGTGGCGGGGGTCGTGGCAGTGGGAGAGGCCTGTCCTCCGTGCCTCCCTGCAAAGGTAAGGAGCTGGGTGTTTGGGTGATCTTGCTCAGGAGGGAGCCTGGGACAGCACCGCCCTTTCTAAAAGGGAAGGAGAAGGACGTTAGCGTTGAGCCTTCTCCCTGTGGTCCCGCATCTTTGGGACTGATGCAACCTGTTCTTGGCATGACACACTTCCTGTCACCAGCTCAGGTGGGACGGTAGGGGAAGTGGTAAGGAAGCAGTAGGTGGGGTTTTTGCCCAAACTGGTGGTTTGTTTTCTCCAGCGGTTTTAACCCTCCAGGCCACTCTCCTTCCATTCCTCCTGTGGCTTCAGCGTGGGGTGCCGATCACCAGCTGTGACCTTCCCAGACATCCTGAGAAGTAAAGTAGAAATTCTGGACTCTGGGAATAAGATAGACTGCATGATACGGGGTCACGTATCATGACCCTTCATATGGGGTCAAGGGCAGGACATATCACTCTGGAATGGAAATAAGAGATATACATGTGCAATAGAGAGTTCCAGCCGAAAACAAAATTGCTGCTTAGAGCCCAGGGCTCAAGATTAGATGAACTGACCAGCTGTGTAGTTGCCGGTAAGTGACTTAGCCTCTCTGAGCCAGAGTTCCTTTCTGTAAAATGGGGAAGAGACTTCCCAACCTGCAGGGTTGTTATAAAGATTAAATGGGATAATGCATGTAAAGAAAGCATTTTTAACACAGTGCTTGGCAACGGAGTGGATACTTAACAGGTGGTAGGAATTATTGTTAATATACTTAATTTCGAAGGATAAGGTGCCTTCTAGATGTCAGGAAGAAATAGCCAATAAGCGGTGTGACTTAGGTAAAAGTATCTACAGTCTTAGGAAAAAATAAAAGGTGTCACATCATGAGCTCGATCGTGTAAGGACAAGCCAATAGAAGGGAAAGGGCAGAGGGGTCTGCACGTTGTCAGAAAGCGGGGTGGGGCAGGGGTAGGCAAGGAATGGGGAGATTTGTCTAGTCCATCCAGGGGAAAGAGTCACAAGTCAGATACATGCTCCCAGCTTGGTGCCCGTCAAGTCGGTTTCCTTTTCTAGTTCTGCTCTTGCCAAGTTCTATTCTGGTCTCCCAGCGGCCCTTCCCCGGGAAAGGCATGCCCCGTGCAAGTGGCCAGTGCTGGCCTTTCTACCAGGCATCTCTTCCCCTGAAAATGAATGCATTGGGACTTGGGTAGAGAAATCGGTCTCTTGTAGTTTCTTGGGGTGACTGGCGAGGTGAGTTTCTGAACAACACGGGGGGCCAGAGCTTCCCGGATGGTGATTCTACTAAGCTACAGGTACACCCTAGGGCCCAGCCTCTAGCAGCTGCCTCACCTTTCACTAGCACAGAAATCACCTACTGACATCATTAATCTGAACTTGATGACTAAGGACGAGACTCTTTTTCCAAATCCATCCGACCCACTCCTATCACTTTCATCTCAGCTTGCAGCTCTGAGTATGACAACATTTCTATCTCTGTGAACACGAGCGCTAATAAAAATATCACGATGTTTAATGATGAGAGTTGAGTTTCAGTGTGCTGGAGGAAGGGGAGGTTGGGGCGCCATCTCCCTGAGCCGATGACTCAAAACAATTTCTGTAATAGTGCGGTAATGAGAACATGGTCTCTTGAATACAGCCTTGTTCTATCCCTCGCCACCTGTGTGCCCTTGAGCAGGTTACTTAACCACTCTGAACTTTAGTGTCTTCAGAAAAACGAGGTGATAATTGGACCAGTCTTGTAGGTAGCTCGTAAGGATTGTACTTACTGGTGCCTGGCCCCTGGCTAGCATTGCAGAGAGGCTAGTTCTTATCACTGTTACTATTCTTTGACTTTGGAAGCTATTGAGGGAACTTTTTATCATCTCTGCTTTCCCCTTCTGCGGATTATTTCTTAGTATATCTCACCTGGGTTAATATTAAGGTGAATTTGCCAGGGAATATACGAAGCTGGCCAGAGAGAGGCTATCCAGCAGGTTGGAGGGTGGGGATTAAACATGTTTAATGATAACCCATCAGCTAACTCAGTGATGGATAAGCAAACATTGACTTTGGCAATACGCTAATAATCCTTCTGTAGTTTTTGTGCACCACCAAACCTCACCGTTGTTAGAGGGAAGAAAGCACAGAGGCAAGATTTGAAGTCAGGAGTCCCACGTCCCTCTGGCTTCAGTTGAACTTACCCGGCAAGGTCTTCACTCGGCACACGTAGGGGGCGCTCTCTTTGAACAAGGTTTGCACGAAAATCCTGATGGTCCCAAGGAACTCTGTGTCAGGGGTCAGGCCAATGAACTCGTATTCTCTCTGCTTGCCTCCAAGGTGCTGAATTTGATAGAGAACCCAGAGTGACTCCTCTTACACACCAGCCCATATGGAGCCCAAGAAAGCCTGTGCACACCTCTGCCTGGGTTACTACACTCAGTATGGTCCACCTGCTCCCAACCCAAAGCTGCTGATTGGTCTGCAATGCTCTATTCCTATTCTCCCATCCTCCGCTTTCTCTGCAAGCCCAATCAGTCACCAAGCCACATGTGCTTTCACTAGAACGGTGTCTGGTCCATAAAGCGCTCTATACTAGCTGCTGTTATCATCACCACCAGCACCAGCACCATCTCCACCACCAGCAGCACCACCATCATCACCATTATCTCTCTTCTAATTTTTCTCCTCCTCCTCTTCCTCCTTCTTTGTCAAACCTCAAGAGCCCTTGAATCCCCATCCCTCTTCTTGCCTTCCTCATTGCTTCTGCCTTACTTGGGCCTCCCCATCTTGAGCCTGGACTCCTGCAGCGGCTTCTGCCGATAGATGGGTCATCTATCTCTGGTTTCGCCCCTGTCCACTTCCATATTTCTCCTGGTGCCAAAGTGATATTTCCAAAAGATTAATATAATTCCAATGCCCCTTTATTTCAGTCTTTGGATGGCTTGGCCCATATCACTGGATAAAACCCTGGTCCCTGCCTCCCTGTCCGCTGCCCACCTGGCCCTTCGGGCTCTGCCAATTCCAAATGCCTGCTCTTCCTGCGTGCTGCATCTTGTCTGCTCCTTCACATTTGCTGTCCCTTCTGCTGGAGCTGCTCTCTAGCTCTCACCCTTTGGTGTGTCTCCAACCTCTTGACCTTGAACTCCTCCCTTGGCTGCCTCGTTCTGTTGTTCTGGTTCTCATCCTCTCTCTCTTGATTCAGCATCTCAGTTCTGTGGTTCTGCAAGATTTGCTTCTCATCCTTTTTTTCTCTCATCACTTACTCTCGCACTTAGTGATCTTATCTGGACCTATGGATTCTGTGCTCGACACTGTGTGGAAAGTCAGGAAGGGCCATGAAGTTTCTGACGTGGACTTCTAGCTTGCTGCTGGATCGCACTACATGGGCATGTCTAGCTCAGCATGTCCAAGCATGCCGATCTCTCCTCTCTGGGTCCCACCCCATCCCAAACCCCAAACCTGCACCTGTGCTCGATTCCCTAGCTCCATCAATAGTGTCCTTCTAGTTCTGATATTCAAGGCCCAAAACCTGAAGCCATTTTTGACAAAGCCCCTCTCATATCCTTTGTTTCTCGTTGCCCTGACATGATCCACAGACCCTCCTTTAAAGGGTCCGGAGCTGTGTCCTTGGGCATTCGAACGCTAAGAATTTTCTTCTTTGCTTCTTTGCATTTCAGCCATGTCTTCCCCTTTCCAGACATGTGGCATCCAGGGTTTAGGGTTTTTTTTAATTTTTATTTTTTGAGGGGAGTGTAAGTGGATGAAGGAGTACACAAACGGATTTTGTAACTTACTGTTTTGTGCAACTCACACGGTTGAAATTGCACATTAAATACTGTGTGATACAAGTCCAGCAGGTTGCGAGGGCCCAAGATTCCTCCCTCCCCAGATTTTTTACTGCCTCCAGCCTCCTTCAGGCCCCAGTATTTCCAGACCCTACCGTTCCAAAAGCCTGCAACTTTCTACCTGATCTCTCATTCATTTTCATATTCGAGCTCTCTTCTTTCTGCTCCCGGGAATTTATAGCTTCTTTGGACCAACCCTCCCTGAAGCATCCACTGTAAACTCTCGCCAAAATAAGAACTACCCGTAGGCATTGGAGAGTAAGCAAAAGTAGGTAGATATTGGAGAAAAGAGGAAGGGAAAGGCATCGGGTGGATTTTGTTTAATGTCTTTTAGCTTGTGGTGTGGTTTAAACCTAAATAGAAACCTTATAACCTTACTGGTTTGAATAATAATAAGAGAGAGTTCTGGGCAATCATAACAGCTAGAAAGTGAGGGGAGACATTGCAGATAGGAGTGGTCCATAGAGGGGGGCAGGTCCAAGTTCTGAGTATAAACTTGTCCAAATCCCTGGCTGGCCCCTAAAGTGAGTAGGGTAAACTCCAAGCAGTCCAGGTAAAGGTGAAAGAACAGGACTGACATTTTGGAGTTTGAAGTCCAGCCAAATTACCTGCCTGCTAAAATAAAACAAGACAAATCAATACTCTTTGGAGGAATAGAACAGAATCCAGAGCCCCTCACTATACCATTCACGACATCTAGGATACATTCTAAAATGGTAAGATGGGAAGAGTAAGAGGAAATGTGATCCATACTCAGGAGAAAAGACAATCAGTGGTGACACATTCCAAGATGACCAAAATTTGGAATTAGCAGGCAATGATTTTCTTTTTCTTTTTTTTTTCTTTTTTAAAAATGTGTACTTATTTATTTCTAAGAGAGAGATAGAGACAGCATGAGCAGGGGAGGGTCAGAGAGAGAGGGAGACACAGAATCCGAAGACAGCCTCCAGGCTCTGAGCTAGCTGTCAGCACAGAGCCTGACACGGGGCTCGAACCCACAAACCATGTGATCATGACCTGAGCCGAAGTCGGACGCTTAACTGACTGAGCCACTCAGGTGCCCCAGGTGGAGATTTTAATACTCTTAAATAAAAAGAACAGTAGACCCTCCCCAAATCAGGAAAGACATAGAGGATCTGAATAACACTACTAGCCGCCTTTATCTAACTGATATATTTATACAGTGCTCTATCAAGCAATGACAAGATACACATTCTTTTCATGTGCACATGGATCACTCACCAAGACCAGCCATATGCTGACCCATAAAACAAGTCTCTGTAAATTTAGGATTGCAATCACACGGCGTATGTTCTCTGGCCACAAACTGAATTCGGTTGTGAGTAAGACATTCAGCAAAAGCCCAAATATTTACCAACAGTTGATGTGGTAAGGACTCTCCTTGCTCAGGCATCTCTAACTGCTCTCCTGACTGTGGAAATAAATAGAACTTCTCTGTCCACCACCCGAGACCTCTACTTCGTAGCCTGTCTTTCCAGGTTCACCTCTCCCATGGCTCCTCTACATCAGTGGTTGTCCAGCTTCAGGGTGAGTAAGAAGCACTTGGGTTGCTCACTAAGAATTCAGATCCCGGACATGCAAGTGCAGAATCTCACTGAATAGCCTGGAAGAAGGCCCAAGCACCTTCTCTTGTGCCAGTCCCCACGCTTCAGCCAAACTGGGCAGTTTGGTGCTTGTCAGTAAGGTTTTAAGTTTTCCTGCTTCTGTCTCCGGTCATGGTGGAGCAGTCTGGGCCAGTGAGGGGAAAATGTGGGCTTTGAACAGGGCTGGAGAGGAATCTTGACTAGGCTATTATTTGCTGAACAATCTTGAGCGAGTGCGTTAACCTCTCCGAGCCTCTGTGTTCTCGTTCAGAAAACAGAGATAATAACACCTCCCTCTCAGGGTTATGGTAAAGATTAAGGCATATAATAAGCATGTAGTACTTGGCACATCTCAGGAATTGGCATTGGCACCAGAAAGTTCTGAAAGCTTCTCCAGAACTCTTGTTTCCAGAACTCTCTGAGCTGCCATCTCCCCTCTCCCGTCCCCTCCTTTGCTCCACCCCACACAATATTTTCCTTATTTTCCTCTATTTATAACTATTTGAATTCTTCTTTTTGCTCCTTCTTCATCTATTGATTATAAACATCTTGGGTGCAGAAATAGTCATTCAATGGAATTATGGCCTCGTGGCACATGCTGGGAGAAAATACCACATGTTTCCTGGGTATAAAAGAAATACCTTGTATACGATTTGACCCTTTATACCCTTGCCTTCCACCTTTCCTTGTTAGTGATCTTAAGACACTGCCTGTGTCCAGTTGCTGAAAATAGTGGAGAACCAGCAAAATGAATTGCAGCAGTAGAAATAGATTCCAGCATTTTTCAAAGTAGACATCTGAAGATGTTAATAGAGGTTGCTTTCCAGGATGTTATAAGGCATTAGGCAAAAGATAAAGGTAAAAAATCATGCAAAATCAAAAGAGTTTCTCTGACCAAGAAATTTGAGAGCGGTTGTATTCAATGAATTAAAACTGGAGACTTGGCTTTGCAGGACTTGTCAGAGACTTTGGCATGCTATTGTGTATGTGATCTACAAGAAGGAGGGCTGTGTTTCAGAAAATGCTAAAAAATGTATATAGAAGACACATCTTTCTGCCTAAAGCAACAGAGATCTCATTGAGAGGGAAATGAGTTTCCCAGGCATGAAGGACTAGGGAGGCACATATATTTACCATTTGGTAGGTGTGGTTGACCTGGAGCTCTAAGTGGTAGGATAGGTCATGGAAGATGTCCTCGAGGGTTAGCTGGTGGCCATCCCCTGTGTGGATAGGTGTGGAGGTGGGATGGACAATCATCTGGATGGATCTCACCTTGGGGATACAGGTCACATTGGGTGGTTTGATGGTAGCTAGAAAGGGGAGAGGGAAACGCAAAAAGAAAAGGCTGGAATCAGCCAGTGGCATCTGAGGCTGCCCCGGACCATGGGATAGGACCGACTACTTCCCTTCTCCTCCCATCCTTACCCCAGCTATGCTTTGAAAGGTAAACAAACAGGTGAGAAGACAAAAGTTCTGCAAGCAACTGGTGTTTGGGTTTAAGGCTGGCAAAGGGGTGCCCAGGGGTGAGTGGGAAGACCTCAGGAGGAGGGGCACTGGCCCCCTAGGTTAACCACGCCCCTGCCTCCCCAATCCCCACCTCGAGTCTGCCCATAGCACCCTTTCCCCCAGTCTATTGGTGATGACAGCTTTGGGGACCGATGGTTCAACTACATAACCTAAATAATGTTTGGGATGCCTCAAATTATTGATTTGGCCTCAAAGGCTAGACCTAAGACTTCAATCTCGCTCAAGACAAAATTCTCTGAATAATCAAATAACCCTTACTGATTTACAGACCTCTTTGAGAATTTAATGAATGCCACGGAACTTCTCTCCCCCAAAATGTACGTACATATACAAATATTTTCCACTCAATTTTAGGGATTCATGAAGTCTACTCCCCCCGAAGCTAATTTATAAAAATCCCTCAAGGGTCTGTTGGCCACCATGGTCAAAAACATCTGAGCTAGAAGAATGTGAACTTCAGTTTTGTTTATAAAAAACTGAGTTAAAAATCCTCATAAAGGGAACGAGGGAAGTAAATTAAGGCTACTTCCATCGATTAGATCATTTTGCAGCCAGGAGATGGCCATGTTGTGGAAAAATGCTTCATGACATGGGCAAATGTTCCTGATCGCATTCTATGAAAACCAACCAATCAACCAACCAACCAGGTTACGAAAGAGTAGAAACAGTAGCTGGCGACCATGGTTATGTTTAAATGTTCAGATTATTTTGGGCTACTTTCATCTTTCTGTGTGCATTTCCATATTTTCTGAATTTTTGACAGTAAATATGTATTACTTGGGCAAGCCAAGACAAAAATAAAGTAACTTGTTGGCTGTTATATGGAAACCAACCCGACAATAAACTATTTGTAAACATAAATAAATAAATAAAGTAACCTGTTTAATTTTACTTTTTATTTTCTTGGACAACCATGTGGCTGTTAAGTCAGTAAGTGAACATCAGCACCTGGTTAGTTCGTGTGGGGAGTTTGGCAACTCATACTCTTCATTCATTCATTCATTCATTCATCAGTTGCGTATTGAGTAACTCCCACATGCCAGGCCATATGCGAAGGACTGAGAGTACAGGGGGTTCCGTGCCTCCACATGGAGCGCATGTTTTATTGCGGGAGGCAGATGATATACATGTAAGCAAATGGTGAGATTAGCTATGAAGACAATGAACAGTTTACTGTGACAGAGAATAACAGGTGGTGACGTAGCGAAATGAGGTCCCTGGGGCCGAGAGTGGGGACTCCCCCTTAGGAGATGATGTTGAGGCAGAGACCAAGACTAAGGACTAAAAACGAGTCAAGGCCAGAGGAGGGCGCTGAGTTAGGAGGCCTTGGCTGTCATCGAGAGGCAAGATGAAGTTGAACTGAGCTGGGGAGGTCGGGATGGAGTTGGAGGAAGATGGCAATTGCACATGGGATGCTGTCTAGGTGGGGGTACCTTCCCTAAAAGCCACGTCTCTAACTGCTCCCCAGTTGGAGGGCCGTCCTCCGCCCTCTCCCTACAATGAGGGGCGCCCACTCACTGTGATGCAGGGAGCTGAACCGGTTGGTCATCTTGGTGGCTGACCGGCCTCCAGCACCGATGGCAGTCACGCGGGCGTAGTAGAGCTCCATGAGGTTGCCCGTCTCCACCGTCAGGTTGCAGGATTTCCGGGTGATCTGCTGGCAGCCCTCCTTTGCCAGCCACTCTCTCTCTCCGTACCTGGGGGCGAGGGAGGGGCCGGAGCACACCTTTAATGAACGGGCCTGGCCCTGGGCCTCTGGTTGATTAATAATGATAAAGATACCTAATATTTACTTAGTATATTCTGTGTCCCAGGCCCCTTATGCAGATGGCCTGTTAGCCCTCACAATGATCCCGTGAGGTTATATATCATTCTCCGTCCTTTTCAAATAAGGAAGCTGAGGCTTAAAGAAGTAACGTGTGGGCAGGTGTTTGGGGCTTACGCTTGGGGAACTCAGCCAGCCTGAGTTCACATTCTGGGCTCATCATCACCAAAGCCCTTTGAGGCAGCCATTGTTATCCCCATTTTACAGATGAGGGATCTGAGGCTCAGAGAGGGGAAGGACTTGCCACAGGATGAAGTGGCAGGACCAGCAGCGGAACCTAGGTTTGCAGACCCCCGAATCCACGCCAACCTCCTCCCCTGCACAGGAAAGGAGGTGGGCAGGAACAAGGGCACGGGCTGGAGCGGGTGGGCACAGCTTCCTGTTGACCTAGTCTCACCAGAAATAATAAAACAGGTATTGGCAGCTTTTTATTTCCCAGGCACAGGTGTTCTTGACTATTTTGATTAGTCTACCTAATGATCCAATGACGGTCCTCTTGCTACGCTTATTTATGGTAGGGAAACAGGCTTCGTGTGGTCAACCCGTTGCCCAAGGTTGTACAGGTGAGAGCTGGCAGGCAAGCCTGGCCAGTCGGACTCCAGAGCCTGTAATCTGAACCGTTACCTTATCCTTCCTTTGCAAAAGAAAGCACAAAGGAGCAGAGCTCTCTCTGGCAGGGGAGAGGGGTTAGGGAGGGTGGGGGTGCAGACTATAGAATAGCAAGCCAGGTGGGGGCGTGGGGACAGATGGAGGAGGGGGATTTTCTTGGAAGGGTTGGTTTCAGAGCAGAATCAAAATAGGTCATGTGAAGAGGGAAGCCTACTTCTTATACTCCACACTGTAGACCGTGTCTGGGGCGCTCTCCAGGCTGCTGTTCCACGTCAGGATGTTCTCGAAGTTGCTGGACTGGAATTTTACGTTTTGAAGAAGATCCGAGGTATCCTCAGCAACGTGGGCTGTGGGAAGCGGGGAGCAGGGTGAGCAGGTGGGCACAGGACCCTGCCCCCAGCCTTCCGACCAGCGGTCCGACGAGGAGTCCACTCACCAGAGACTCTGCAATGGGCCATCACTCTTCTCCTTCACTTCTTTTTAAATTTTTTATTGAACTATTATTATTATTTATTATTATATTTATTATTCACATCCCACGAAATTCACCATTTTAAAGCATGCCATTCAGTAGTTTCTGAGTTTATTCACAAAGCTGTGAAACCATTACCATTATCTAATTCCAGAACATTGTCATCGCCCTAAAGAGGACCCCTGTGTCCATTAGCAGAGCCTCCCCAGGCCTTCCCTCCCCCAGCCCTAAGCAGATCTGTCTCTGGCTCTACGGATCTTCCTCGTCTCGACTTTTCATATAAACAGTCATCCAGGATGTGGCTCTTTGTGTCTGGCTTCTTCCATTTAGCATAAGGTTTTCAAGATTCATTCATGTCGTAGCATAAATCAGTACTTGCTTCGTCTTCACGGCTGAATAGTGTATCACTCATTTGGTTTATCCATTTATCAGTTGATTAACATTTGGGTTGTTTCTACTTTCTGGCTATTGTGAGTAATGCTGCTGTGAACATTTGTGTTGAAGAGCCAAAAATTAAGTCCTCCATTAAGAGCAACCTCGGGCTGCACATAGCCCCAGTCCCAGCTCCAGGAAAAACCTCAGATTGTTCAAGGCTAAAGCCATCCTTGGACCGCCCTCAGATCAGCTAATCAAAAAAACATTCCTATGGTGTGAGTCAAGGCTGGGAACTGCAGTTATTTTATACAAACTAGCCAGTTTCTCACCACTTCCCTGAACCCCCCGTGGGCCCTTTGAACTCACCTCATAATTGGTCATTTCCAAAGGATGCTCAAAAGTCATGATTGGGTCCCACCAAAAGTAATGAACACCTTACAGATACTGAATGGTCAAAGCTGTTACCAGGGGTGCTGTACAATTATAATTGGTGCTTATGTGATGATGCTACATGTACTGTAACACCTCCATTCCTTACTCCTTAAAAACCCTATTCGCTATTGTTCTTGGCTTCACCTTGCTGCCACGACACCGGTAGGCGGGTGAGCCCCTGCTCGAGCTTGTAATAAAGACCCTTTTGTACTTGCATCAGTGCCGGCTCCTTGGTGGTCTCTGGGGACTCGCGAATCGGGCACCACAGTGTCCACGTTTTTAAGTGGCCATACGTTTTCAGCTCTGTTGGGTACATAGCCAGGCGTGGAATCTCTAGGTCATATGGTACTTCTGCTGAACTTTCTGAAGAGCTGCCAAACTATTTGCCAACTCTCTTCTAAAGTGGCTGCACCATCTTACGTTCCCACCAGCAGTGTCTGGGCAGTGCAGTTATCCACATCCCTGCCAACACTTGCTATTGTCTCTCATTTGCTTTTCTTTTCTTTTTTTTTTTAATAGCAAATTTTTTCTTTTTTTTTTTTTTTTTTTTTTTTGTTTATTTATTTTGAGAGAGAGAGAGTGCAGGCTCACAAGTAGGGGAGGGACAGAGAGCGAGAGGGGGAGAGAGAGAATCCCAAGCAGAGTCTGTGGTGTCAGTGTTGAGCCCGATGAGGGGCTCAATCTCACAAACCGTGAGATCATGACCTGAGCTGAAATCAAGAGTTAGTTGCTTAACTGATTGAGTCACCCAGGTGTCTCCTAAAGATTTTATTTTAAAGTAACCTCTATATCCAATGTGGGGCTCAAACTCATGACCCCGAGATCAAGAGTTGGGCGCTCTACCCACCGAACCAGTCAGGTGCTGGCTCTCATTCACTTCTTAACACCATCTGAAGTTGGCGTCCTCACCGACTGGATGTTTGAGAGATACTCAACTACACGGTGACTATTCAACTAAAACATCAAAGGCTAACTTTTCCGGGGTCAGCAATTTCAAACAAGGGTGGAGAAGATGATTGTGAATTCCTGCCTCCCTGTTGGCTGAAGCAGTCCCTGCCTGCCTAGCCCATGGGGAAGGCAAAGGCAAATTCTGCAGCCACATGGACTTCATGCGGGGGGGTGGGGAGAGGGAGGCTGACTGAGGCCACATAGGGGCAGGGTGACCCTGGGGACTGTTTTCTTTGTCTCTAAGATGGGAATAATTTGACTTTACCTACAGGTAAATAAAAATGACAAGAGCAGCAGATGACACTTCAAGTGCCAGCCACTAGGCTAAATCTCTTCTCTAAATCCTCCCAACAACCTGATGATGTAGTGACTATCATTACCCTCCCCTATTTTATGGATGAGAAAAGCTGAGGTTAAGAGAGGTTTTTTGTTTGTTTGTTTTTAAGTTTATTTATCTATTTTGAGAGAGAGAGAGAGGGAGAGAGAAGAGGGGTAGGGAGAGAGGCGGAGAAAGAGAGAATCCTAAGCAGGCTCGGCACTGTCAGCACAGAGCCCCGACTTGGGGCTCGAACCCAGGAATCCCGAGATCATGACCTAGGCCGAAATCAAAAGTCAGTCACTTAACCGACTGAGCCACCGGGGAAGCCCCTAGAGAAGTTTATTTGCTCAGTATCACAGTTCGTACGTGACAGAGCCTGCAGTTCTTGTCATAGTGCTAGACTGGTCATGGGGGGGTCCAGTAAGGCAAGGGGGGGACAGGAAAGGCCAGAGCCCCAAGCAGAGGACCATTGTCCCTGAAGCGATCTTTACTGTACATGAGAGCCTTCACTCACAAAGCTCTTCTCTCAGCCCTCCATGCTTGGTCTGTGGAAAGGAAGAGGGTTGCCGGAAAACGGTGGCTGGGACTGGCAGCTGGCTCTGAGCATGCTCGGAAGGGCCTGGTTGGCTGGGGTGGGAAATAAACAGGTGCGGACCCAGCTGCGTCAAGGCCTTGGGGCTTTGTGTACATATGTGTCTTTGATGTGTGTGTGTGCCTCCACCCACCCTGGACATGACCATGACCACCAACAGGCCCAAGGTCTAAGGCAATGGATTGTTATTGAATCCCCACTCCAAGTCTACATATGATATTTCTGCAAGAGGGGTCTGTGGGCTTAGGAGGCACCTGAGGGGATGGGAAAGAGTATCAATCAGGACAGCCTGACCCTGCTGTGCATCCACTGGCAGGGTCTAAGGACACATTCCTCCTTGAACCTGAGCTGGTCAGTCCCAGCAGCTATAGAAATCTTTGTGTTCCCAGTTTCTTGGAGCTCTCAGAACAAGGCCTAGGGGACTGGTGTCTTACTGCCTCTAGCCGATGTGATGGCTACGCTATCGAGCCCCAAGGTGAGGCTTACCTCTTGCTTGGATCTGAGTCTGGGCAGAATTGGGGTCTGTTCTGGAGGGAGTGAGCTATCCTGGATTCAGATCTTAAGTTGAGGGAGGGAGTCCGACTTGAAGTCAGAAGTGAATGGTGGCTTCTGGTGGGGTGGTAAAGTTAGGGCAGGAGAGGGAGGGTGGGATTTGAGAGAAGGCCGGGGTCTGTCTGGGGTGTCTTAGCCACCCCTAGTGGTGGGTTAGGGGCTGCGGTGGGAATTTGCTGGTAGGGGTCAGTATCCTGGTGGGCTAGTCGGGTTGGAGGGAGCCTGGTGGCTGAGGCTGGGGCATGCTTGGGAGGCTGGGGGGAGGCTGGGCACCCTTTTTCAGGAGGAACTGAACGTGGCTTCCAGAAATGGGGTGGGTAGACCTTGGTTGGATTCTTCTTTTGAGGGGGGTGTTGAGGGCTCACAAGATCTCTCCTCTCCCTCCTACCCGACTCATTTCTTTTTCTCCTCAAGTCCATCATGCGTTCCTCAGCCTGTGTTGTGTCTGCACTTCCTGGGTGAAAGTCTACATTGTGAAATCCTGGACACCCATGTGTTGTCTAGAAACTGACACACCGGCAGCCCCTAGAAAAGGAAGTCCTGATGTTTGCTTGGAAAAACAATTTCATGGCAACACGTTGTAAGCCAAAGAAAAACAAACAAACAAAACCGATTCAAAATGTTCTGGCATCAGCTTATGAATGCTAGGGCAGAGGAGACCTGGGTCTCGGAGAACCTTCTCGGCTCTGAACGACTCCTAAGACTGTTTTCCCCTTGGTCCCCATCTGACAGGGTCAAGACCCTGTAAGACTTCCAATCAGAGTGGAGTCTTTGGGAAATGCAGCACATCTTCCTCACTCATCAGGGCCCAGCGTGTTGGGAATACCCACTTGATGCTGGGGTTAGACAGACTGGAGGGGCCCAGGCGGCAGCTGGGAGCATTGTGGCTCCTCCCCCACCCCCAGCTGACGCAGGGGACAGCAGCAGAGGGGGCTTGGGCTTCATCCTGCACTTGAGCTAGAAAGAGCCTTTCAGGGACCCTCCCTTCCACTCTTCAGCCAGGACTATGTGTTCACTTCCCGGGAAAATTCCCTGAATTGTATTAACCATCTCGTGGAGCAGAGAGACCATCTGGGATCTCACGCATCTGTTTGAAATTTCTCTATAACGAGAAATCAAGAAACCCATTTTACTGGATTTGGAAACTATGCCTTTTAGTTCTGTTTTCAAAGGGTGGTTTTTAAAAAAAAATTTTTTTTAACGTTTATTCATTTTTGAGAGAGAAAGAGACAGAGTGCGAGCAAGGGAGGGAGGGACAGAGAAAGAGGGAGACACAGAATGTGAAGCAGGCTCCAGGCTCTGAGCTGTCAGCACAGAGCCTGACGTGCGGCTCGAACTCACAAAACGTGAGATCATGACCTGTTCTGAAGTCAGACACTTAACCGGCTGAGCCATCCAGGTGCCCTTCAAAGGGTATTTTAAGACCTGTCGATGCAGCAGACCTGGCCACTATGTGGGAGAATATGCTCTTTCGGATCTAGTGTGAGGGGCCGGAAGAGGCCCCCAGCAAGGTGTGGAGGGACACAATGGCCGCACTCAAGTTTTGTCCATCTGTCCTTCTCCCACCTCCCGTTGTTAGGCCAGCGAAGCCCAGAAGCAGAGGAAGGGATGATACAGCTATCGGAATGATTCGAGGGGTCCAGGGCGTCTGCCTCCCTCAGGCCAATTCTCTAACCATTGAGGTGAGGGGATCTGGCACCCCCAGTTCAGACAGCTGGCTACATCCCTGAGTCTAGAGGTTAGTTGAGTCTCTGGCAGAGCCCAGGGTCTGAGGGGCCCACTCATCCTCCCCAACTGAGGTCTCCCCTAGTTCTCCAGGGAAACTTGTTACCCAGTTCAGCCCTAGTGGAGAGGAAACCGAAACTGCCTGGGATGGGGAAGAAAAACCTGATCAACCCTCCTGGGTGTCGGGGGAGGTGGGAGGGGATCTGACCACAGGGCGATGGGCACTCACCGGCCAGGGATCCCGCGGCCAGGATGGTCAAGAGCGTCCTCATGGGGCCGGGCTCAGAGCCCTCTTTTGGCCTCTGCTCTGGGCAGAGCACAGATGGAGGACTGGGAAGCCTTGGCGCCTTGGCCTCGGGCTCCACCCAGGTACAGGGGCGGGGAAAGACGGCGAGGGTGGGGTCAGAGCAGGGGGAACGAGGTGCAAAGGTGTCTGGTCTGTGTGCTCCAGAATTCCAGGTCCTGGGCGGGATCCGAGGGAGTTCCTCTCCCAGTTGCAGAAAACAGCAATAGCGACAATCCAGCTTGTTTATCTGGTCTGGTGGCTGATTCAGCCCAGACTGCTCAGCGCTTTATCAGGAAGCTACAAGACACAAAAGGCAAAAAAAAAAAAAATCCTCCATACTCAGCCCAATCAGACAGCGGTTTGGTCCTGTGTTTCAAAAACCTGCAACATGCATGTAACTTTTGCCCCGGTAATTTCATTCTCAGGAATTTATCCTGAGGACAGTAACTGGAGTGGACAAGGGAGCAGAAAATATGTTCCAGAATGTCCCTTGCAGCAAAGGAAAGGCTGTGAGTCCTCGGCTGTGTTCTGGCAGGAGGAGATTCGGGATGTTTGCCGCTCTTCCTAGCGGGCCTCCTATCAAAGCAGTTTCCCATGTTGGATGATGATCTTGGGGGTAGCTTTCCTTCTAGAGAGGCTGCTAGAAGTGAGCAGCCCAGGTATTCTCCCCTTGAGCCTTTGGGGTCTGGGGCCTCCAGAAGGTTAGAGGGAAAAAAAGCACCCTAGATCTCAAACTTGAGTAACTCTGCTGCACTGGAGATGGGGGTGAATTTCATGAACGGGTCTTCGGTTTGGGACAAGGATAGTTCACACGGCTTATACAAGCAGTTCTTCTGCTGTCGCCAGCTGCACCCACAGGGATTAATGTGAGGGTCCCTGGTGTTTAGGAAATGATTTTCTCCTTCTTGCTGGGCCTCAGGGAGGCTGGAAGGACCTGGAATCTGGGTAGGGTGGGCCTGATCAGAGATCTGCGCTCCTGGGAAGAGTTTAGCTGTCTCTGGCCACACAGCCGCAGGCTGAGGCCCAGAGCAGGAGAGTTGGCTACTAAGGCAGCCGATGGAAGCATCCAGAAACTTGTGGCTTTTGGACGTCGTAGGCTGTGATACCCAGCGATCTGTATTTAAGCTTTTCTTTTCTGTGTTATATTTGTTTTCTTTCTATCAGCTTTGGGTCTTTGGTAGTTTATTTGCCAAAACAGCCAAATTTGAGCCGTGCTTGGGGGAATTAAAGTGTGGGCTGTGCCAGCTATTTCCTGTAACTTCAGCAATACAAGAAAGTGGGAACACCTAGACTTCATTTCTAATAGTAAATAGTAAAAACGAAAGAAAGAAGAAAGAATGAAGAAAGAAGGAAAGAGGAAAGAAAAAGAAGAAAGAAACAAGGCAGGAAGGCAGGCAGGCAGGTAGGAAGGAAGGAAGGAAGGAAAGAAGGAAGGAAGGAAGGAGAAAGGAAGAGCCTCCATGTCTAACAGTTTTCTAAATGGATAATGCTATGTCTACCAAGGCAAGACAAGCACAGCCTTGCATGTGAATAGCGCTGGAGAAAAAGTTTAGTGGCCGAACGTTCCCCACATTTTGTCAAATGAGAGCAGGCATGGCATATACCATGTACAGTACAAGCCTGGTTAAAACAAATACACTCATGGAGGGAAAAAAAGTCTTAAATGATGGGATTATAATGTGAAAATATTAATGGAATGATCTCTGGGCGGTGGTAGGATTACAGTTGGTTCTTATTCTCTTCGCTTACCTGCATTTTCTAAAGTGCTGATAGGCAATATATTTTTTTATATTAAGGAAAAGCAAGGCTACTGAGCAAAACAAAGAGGCATTAAAGAAATGCCACGAGCTAGGCTGTACCTGCCTCCTGGAATTCCATTTCCTCTCCGTTAGCCAGACTCCCTCTTCTTCAAAGCCAGCTGGTTTCCTCTCCTGCAAGATGCTCTTGACAACTTTAGCGCCCAGCAGGCTCATTTTTAAAAAATTATTTATTTATTCATTTGGAGAGCGAGACAGAGGGAGAGGGAGGGCCAGAGAGAGAAAGAGAGATTGATCCCTGCTTGGGATCAAGCAGGCTATCAGTGCAGAGCCCGATGTGGGGCACGAGCTCAAGAACTGTCAGATTATGACCAGAACCGAAGTCAAGAGTCAGGCACTTAACTGACTGGACCACCCAGGTGCCCCAAACACAGGTTCACTTTAAAGACCCTTTTAGGGCTCTGATTCTGTACATGGGCATTGTCCAGTGTTATTCTTCAGGTGTGCTCCTGTTTAAGACTGGAAAGGACAAGGGGTACCTGGGTGGCTCAGTCGGTTAAACGTCTGACTTCGGCTCAGGTCCTGATCTCACGGTTCATGGGTTCGAGCCCCATGTCGGGCTTTGTGCTGACAGCTTGGAGCCTGGAGCCTGCTTTGGATTCTATGTCTCCCTCTCTCCCTACTTGTGTTCTGTATCTCACTCAAAAAAGAATAAACATAAAAAAAAAAAAAAAAAAAGACTGGAAAGGACAGCTCAGGTAAGGGCCAGGAGAGACATCAGCACCATCTTTGAAAAACCCTATCCCCAACCTGTTGCATGAAGAAGAGTCTCCTTTTGCGTAACCACCTCCAAACAGGAAAACCAGGGAGGCAGTGGGAACACACATTAAGGAGGCAAATTCTTTTCATTTAAGGAAATAGCTCTCAGTACGGTCATGTGTCATATTGTAGGATGGGTTGCCCTTGGCTGCTGGGGGTATTCAGTGAGTGGCTGTGACCACTGGTAGATTTCTCATAATAACTCCATTGCTTGGTCTTTAAAATTCAGTGGATCTTGTCTCCCCAGTGAGGGAGAAAACATTCTGAGTGCAAAGGGATCCTCTACGTGGCTGAGTAGAGAGCAACTATCCAACATGAAGTTGACCTTTATAGCAGCAGATTCACATGGCTGATTCTCTCTGGCTCAGCTCGCCAGAAAAATGCGTTCGTTTGCTTTCTAATAAGTTTCTCAAACATACCGCATCGTCTCACCTTTATCCAAGCTCTACTGCTGCCTGGAAGATGTTTTCCACCCCCTTTTCCCTATCTAGGTCCAGTTCATTCTTCAGACCTCTTCCCAAATTCACTTCCTCCAGGAAGCCTTCCCTGTGGGAGACTCTCGCCAGGCTGGGTTAGGAGCCCCAGTCCTGTTCCCCTGGCCTCCTGAAGCTCACCCATTCTCATGTGTCTCACACTGTAGGACTGGCTTCCTGCTGTTGCTGACTGTGGGGACAGATGGTGTAATTTGCTCCCCTTGATCTCAGCGTCCACCGTGAGCTGGCAGAGAGGAAGCAGCTGGTAAGATCTGCTCAGTGACTGAGTGTGCTGGAGGTGGGGGTGGGGGAGAGCTGACCAGGGCTTCCGTACTGGCTGTGGAACACGGGAAGCCGTAGAAAAAGCACATCCTAAAATGACAAGTACTCAGGAATGTGACCTGCTTCTGTTCCTTCTTGCAACACCCAGGGCTGCCTGGACCCGTTCTGCAGAAGCAAGAACAGCAGAGGCAGCGGGGTGTGCGCTGGGGGCTGGGGGCGGCTCCCTGGCTTGATGACTCAGCAGTCAGTGAGCCTGAAGGGGGTCCCTGATCGTGCATGGCAGGGAAGAACGGGGCTCAAAGCCTTGGCGACCCACCCCCAAGCCTCTTCTTTGAGAAAAGCCTGAGAATCAGACTCACTTTGCAGTCCCTGGCTCCAAGCCTCAGCTGTGTCAACCAGGGACATTGACTTAGCATCCCAAGCCTGAGTCCGGTCCCAACCCTGCACCCGACTCCAGGTGACCTTGGTGGGTCTTGCCCCTCGCTGGGCCTCAGTTTCTCTGCCCGTGAGGAGGCTTGGCCTAGAAGGCCTCTAGGAGGAATTTGAATGGCCCCTGCTTCCATGTCACTATGGGGTTAGAAATCTCCCCTGACATCCCAGAATTCCGCTCATGGCTACTGTCAGTGACACACGCACACAGTCAGCTCAGTGTGTATTGACTCTGCTTATAATTTCAGCTCTCTCTGGGGGTAAGGAATTCTTGAAGCTTATTACATGCTTAGAAGACCATGCTTCTGCATAAAAACAAGATCCGTGTCTCACGCCAGAACTGGGGGCCCAGTTTCATGCACGCTATGGGAGCCAGGAAGTGAACGGAATGTAGGCTTCGGGCATACAGACCCCGGTTCAAATCCCAGCTCTTCCTCTGAACCTGAGGTACGCAGGTGGCGTAGTCTTACCCCCAGTTTCCTCAGCTGCAAAAGGGAAGCGAGAGTCTGTCTGCTCCTTAGTGTCGTTGGGAGGATTAAACATGTCTGGGTCTTCAGACAGTTTCTGAGAAGGGGCTCTCACATGAGTCTCTGGTTACAGAATGAGGAACCAAAGACCAAGGGAAGGGCCTTTACAAACCTTTACAAAAACCCGAACCCTTGGGCGTGTGGGCATGGGGATGGCTGGAGTGATACACAGTCCCTTAGAAGTCTGAGCTGCCCGGGGCACCTGGGTGGCTTAGTCGGTTGGGCGTCCGACTTTCGCTTAGGTCATGATCTCGCGGTTCGTGGGTTCGAGCCCCGCGTTGGGCTCTGTGCTGACCGCCAGCTCGGAGCCTGGAGCCTGTTTCGGAGTCTGTCACTCCCTCTCTCTCTGACCCTCCCCTGCTCACGTTGTCTCTCTCTCTCTCTAAAAAAAAAAAAAAAAAAAAAAAAAAAAAAAAAAAAAAAAAAAAAAAAAAAAAAAAAAAGTCTGAGCTGCCCATAGTTTCTGAGGCCAAATTCCAGGGATGGGGAAGCAAGGGCATTGCATCCTGCAGATTAGGTATTGCGGCTGGATTGAAGTTATTTGGGGGTGGGGGGTGGGGATTCCATGACAGGGCCTGGAGTTCAGAGATAGGAATCGGGGGTGTGGGGAGTCTAAGCCCCTCTTGGAATCTGGCTGCTGAGATGCCCACATAGTGCCCGGAGAAGCCGGGGTTTACAGCAGGGAGTGTGATTTGCATGAATGGATGGGACTCACCCTGGAGGGAGGCACTGAGACCTGGAGAGGGCCTCCCACCACCTGCTGATGATTTTTCCCACCAAGGCAGTGTACTCTGAGCTGTTCTTACCTCCTCCTCCTAACCCACTCAGAGAGGTAATGTGTGGGTGGGGGGTGGGGGGGTGAGGGACAACTCTTGATAATTTATAAAAAGCTGTCAAACCTCACATG